ATAATGCTGCAAAGACAAGATCACATTTCATCTTTCTGGCCAGGCTTTTTTAAATAAATCATCATTGTAATTATTTTTAATTATGATCTGACTTTAAATCAGCACAGGTAGGGGTTTGTGTTTCTCTGCTTCTGCTGGTCTCACCCTTTCTGCAGCAAGCTGGGGGATTGTGGTGCCTGGAAAGTGGCAAGGTTTGTGTGTCATTCATTCCTGTTTTATGTAGCTTTTCTCAGGCATTCAGTGAAAAGGGTGTAGTTATTCTTCTGTGGAAGCCATTTGGGCAGATCCACAGATGGTGTGTGCAGGTGCCAGCAAGGACCCAGAGCAGGTTCTCACATCAGCTGGACAGAAATCTTTCCATCCACACGAAGGCTCTGGTGTTTGTGGGGTGGCTGATGCTCACAACAGTTTGGTCTCTCCCTCTCCCTGTTGTTCTCTGCTTGACAAAGTGAAGAGATTTTGCCAAAAACTAATTAATAAATAAATAATCCTGAAATGATATGACCATTAAGGCTGGAAAAGACTTTCAAGATCAAGCCCAGCAGTCAGCCCAGCACCACCACCGTGTCCTCAAGTGCCACATCCACATTTCCAGGGATGGTGACATTTCCATCACTGCCCCAGCAGCCTGTTCCAATGCTTTACAACCCCTTCCAGGAAAAAATTTTCTGTAATATCTATTTTAATGGTGAGGTTGGTACTGTCCAGTTCTGGTTTCTTTCTCCATCAGTGCCTGGGCACTAGGAAGAGGAAGTTTTTTGTTTGCTTATCTCTCTGAAAATAATGATTCTGAACAGTTCTCAATCTGCAAATTTTAATAGTCAGAGGAGGGAAAGCCTGTTCATTTGTCACCCTCAAGAAATGCCACTAGCTGGGGGAAGCTCCTTGAGAGGCAAATCTTTGGCACATCATCTCTTCTCCATTCAGGATTCTCAAAAAGGAAGCTTGTTATTCCTCTGTTTTTCTTTTTTTTTTTTCTTTTTTGAGTTCAGTTCTGTATCTTGTTTGCATTTCTTAGTGGTCTAAAAAGCAGAGCTTTCTGTTAGTAGAGAATTGATCTGGCAGCATCTTGTTTTCTTTCTTCCTTTATAAAAACCATAATCGCAGCTTCACTAATTATCCATGTTTATTAGTGCTCTCTGTGTATGTTTGAGGAACTGATTGATCATAGCTGTTCCTGAGCATTTTAATAATGATATGAAAAAGCTGCTGATGTGATGGTCCTGAATTCCAAACATGCAGTCACACAGCTCTGTTCTGAAACAGGTTTTGGGCAGGGCAAATGGACTTTTGTCAGCGTGGTTCACCAAATCAATTAGGGACCAACCTTCTTGGTGATTAGCAGGGCCCTCAGACAGGGCTGTGGAGGATTTCACATTCTGGAGCTTCACCTGTGGGATCTGCTCTTGGAAAGAGCACGGTGCTGGCGGTGGGTTGGGCATTTGTACATCACAGCCTTTATTGTGTTTGGAACTTGAGGTGCTGGGATGGAGGAAGGGTCAGTCCATGTGCACAGCCCTCAGGAGTGTGAAGAACTAAAAAAGATGTTCAACATGTTCTAAATATTCTAAATATTCTACATCTTGGGAACACACAGATTTTGGTTTGTATGACTGTTAGTTTAATTCCTGATGAAAGGGGAATAAACAAGGACGTGGTAAGGTACCTTCAGTGGGGAATCCCCCATAAAGCATCCCTGAAATGTTCTGAAGGTGAGAAGGAGAATATCCACACACCACCTCTGCTTTGTTCACCCAGCAGTGTAATCTCCTTGGCAAGACAGCCTGGGGACAGCACACAGCTCTCATTTTCCCTCTTGTCTCCATGCAGTTGCTTTCATCACAGTCTGACTTGTGATAAGAAAGCCATAAGTGGCTTGAAATTCAGATAAGCATCCTAAATTGTAACTATAGAAAGTCGAGCAGGAAGCTGTTCCAGTTTGATCTGCACTGGAAACTAATCCAAATTTAATCACAGATACAGATACAATCTTCCATAATCCTGTGATGTTCTAGAATTGCAATGGAAGGGCTTTCTATTTCAAGAATACTTTTAAATATTATTATACATTTGCTATTCTAGAATAATTTCATCTTTCTATAGCTACTCCTAAATAGAAAAAAACATGGCCACTTGTGCACCTACAACAGCAGGAGCTGTTGCTCTGCTGCTGTATTTATCCTTTACCAGTACAGCAATTTGAACATTAAAGTCCAAATAGTTTAGACTTTAAAAACCTTCAAATGTAGTTCAGGAATTTATATCAGTGTCTGCTTTGCAGACTGCTCCCCAGACAAAATAATTAGGGAATTTTTCTGCTGTAACTGGGGGCGAAGCTGTTTCCTGGCCTTCAGATGGAGGAGACGCGGAAAGGCGACTGCGCCTTGCATTTCTCTTGATTTTATCTGTAGGATGTGAAGGAATCTTTCAGCATATAATCCTTAAAATATTGATCTTGCAGAGGAAGTCTGGGGCTGGAAGGGATCATCTGTCATCAGATTTGCTGTTGATGTGGCCTCGTGGAGCTGCATTTTCAGCTCCTGGGTCTCTGCTTGCTGCAGGGAGTCTCAGGCTGGGCTGGGTCGAGCTCATGCACACAAGTGGTTTAGGATCTTTTATTTTCCATTGAATTGTGCTGCCTTTCTGCAGGATCTCTGCTTTATGGCCCTCTGGGATGTGCCAGCACGAGGGAAACGCCACTGAGGGGTGCAGAGCTCCCCCATAAACCAAGTCACTGCTTTAAATCTCCAAATGGAGACTAACAAATATCACTAACTCCCAGCTCTTTTTTATTAGCTGGACTATTTTTTCTCCTTTGTAAGTGCCAATATCTGAACTTAAAACTGTGTTTGGTATATGAGAGAAATTCTCCAGCTGATCGTAGCCTATAAAATTAAAATATTGAAGTGCCCAGTGTTTGAGTTTATTGAGGTATAAATACTAGAACGTGGTGTACTCTGTGGTTCAGATGCTTCCTTGTTCTATTTTTCTGAGTCTTTTTGCTTATTTTATTTCTCTGACACTCCATACAAAGAGTTTCCTGGGTTTGGTTTCATCCTGGCATTTTTCAGCAGTCTGGTTCTTAGCAGTATGGAATTCAACAAGGTGAATAACGTTTTCTGTTTACTGTTTACATTTTAAAAAGCAAAATTTCTGTTTAAAAAAAAGCATATTCCACATGTCTCCGGGCAGTTGGACATGTATGCAGTATACAGTCTAATAAAAAAACAAATACAGCATTAGGATCAGAAAGTGGTGCATGTTAGCAAATGGTCTGAATTTAAACACCAGTCAACACCAGGGCTTCATTTTAGGGGAGGGAAATTCACATGTGAAGTATTAAAATTTAACTTCATAAATACATTTCCTTAGGAGCGGGATATGCATCTCCAAGTCCTCTTCCTGTTAATTTTGATTAGATTTTCTAAAATGGAATAAACATAAAAGCATTAAAAGATGTGTAAACCATGAAAGTTAAATGCAAAACAGATACAACCACAGCAGAGATATGAAAGCCAGACCCTTTGTTTGCTCATGTGAAATATGGGGGGAAATTCCTTCACTGTGGACTCGCTTCCACAGGAGCATTGTGGACTTACCTCCCATTAGAAGGTTTCAGAACGTGATCTAAAGGGCAATTAAATCATCAGGAGGCTTCAGTGTTGAGATGGGGCTTCTTTAGAGATGTCTGTTGCAAGAGGGATGCTTGGCTTGGGGAAGAAAATATCTTTGGCATTTAGAATAATTTGGGACCAGCATCGCCCCTGGGGGAGATCGTGGGAGGTGGAGTTGCTATCCCTGGGGACTGCTAAGGAAAGGACAGACAAAATCTAGGCAAACATCTGCCAGGTGAATTTTTTTCAGGGAATGGACTAATTGACCCTTATTTCCAATGACCCCATGTTGATTTTTAAGGTAATGGTGTCAACATGTCAATCAAATGCTATTTACGGTAGCCCAGCGTTGCTGAAGAGGTGCAAAAACTGCTTATGTGGTACTTCTGGAAATTCAGTTTTATGATTCTGTCTTAGACCTTCACCTGTTTGCTTAAACTCTTCTTGATCTTTGCCCATCATTGTCCATCATTTTCAGATGAAACTTTGCAGCAGTGCTCTCAAGCCGGTTTAATGCTTGTTTCCCTCTTCATTTGACCGAATGTAATCCTCTAAAATCCCCTGAAATATGGAATGCTACCTGCTTAGCTTTGGAAAAGGTACCAGCAGGAGCTGACATCATTTTCTGGGAGGTTGTCTGAGAAGATGCCCTGGCAAGTTTAGGTGAACACAAGGAGGAACAGGGCACAATGTTTTCCTCCTCCCTGGAAGTGTCCAAGGCCAGGCTGGATGAAGTTTGGAGCAACCTGGGCTAGTGGAAGGTGTCCCTGCACATGGCCAGGGGCTTGGAATGAGATGAAATTTAGGGTCCTGTCCAACCCAAGCCATGCTATGATTGTAGGGCAGGGGACAAAGAAAATGTAGCACAAATTCCTCGCTCTTCTAAAATTTTCTCTTTAAGCTTTCTGTGCTTTCCATGGTTGAAAAAGAAATGGGGATGGAGAATGTGTCTTTTTTCCATTCATCTCAGTTGTACCTGCTTGTACCCCCAGGAAGAAATAGGATTAAAGGCCTGATGCAAAGGAAATGTTCATACAGCAAGTTTTTATAAAAGCCAAAGGTTTGGCCAGCAGTTTCTACAGGCTCAGATATGTTATCTAACCCTAATTATTCCCCTGTATTTTTCTCTTGGCCTCAATGAAAGAGCCATGTCACAAATCACTGTAATCAACAAGGACTTCAGAAGCAGAGACTACAGAGGCAGTGCCTGCAGGAGCTTGGAAAAATACCATAAAATTCCACTTTTCTTTGCTGCCAAACTGAAGTAAACAACAAGCCAGCCAGCCCGAGCGCCCTGGCCGCACCGTGGATGCGCCAGGAGAACCAGGGTGTGCGTGTGCTGGGCTCTCCTGCAATCCTTCCTCACCATCTCCCTTCCTCCTGCAGACGTGGATGAGTGTGAGGAGCTGAATGGAGGCTGCCAGCAGGGCTGTGTCAACACCCAGGGCTCCTTCCAGTGCCAGTGCCGGGCGGGATTTCGGCTCCACGCCGACGGGCGCACCTGCATCGGTAAGGAACCGCCTCGCGTCCTTCCAGCGCTGCCTCTTCCCCAAGTGCAAAGGTTTCTAGACTTCTCCCATCTGAGTTTTAACTAAATATCGTTACCCATCATGGTTCAAGCAGCCTGTGAGGATTCAGGTATTGCCAAATTTTATTTTATCCCAGGGTTTTAGGTTTTTTTTCTTGGTTTTCATTGGGTTTTTTGTTTGTTTGTTTTTTTTTTATGGTGTCTCATGTTGTTGAAAATTCTTTTGCAGCAGGCATTAAGAAGCTTAGGGAGGGTCTTCATTTCAAATGACAACATTTTTTAAAAAATTCTGAGTGCATTTTCTTTGTGGCACATCTCCCTGTGTGTCCCAGCACTGCCCTGGGACTCGGTGATTTTATCCAGGCTAAAAGATTGTGATTTATGGGGTGGAGTTACCCTGTGTGTGCTCGTGTCAGTGACAGCACCATGGAGCTCAGCCGTGACACACTGCCTGTTTATGTGCAGAGGATTAGCAGCTCTGCCCTCAGAAATAAACCCTCTCTTTCTTAGGTTGGACTCTCAAGGCTGACACAAGGCACACCAGAGTTAATTCTGTGTGTTGTTAGAAACAATAATATGAAATACACAGTTCTTGTATTGCTTGTATTGCATTTAAATCAGTGCAAAAGTCAAATTTTTGAATTCTGCAGAAAGGATTACAATGTTCTATCATCTGGGAAGAAGGAAAGGGCACCTTTTGTTTAAATTTTTAAACCTGATTTGAGGTAATACGGGAAGAACAGTCAGGTAGAGTCAGACCACATCTGCAGAATAAGTTCACTCACAGTCTGGGCATTGTCTCAGTTCCTGCACAAAGTCCCTTGGTTGTGCTTAACTTCAGCCAGAGATGTCATCAGTCATTCCTGGTGTTATCACAGCAATACATTCACTGGTACAACCAGGACACAGGAGGTACCAGGGCTCAGGCTGTGGCAATAATGGATTTTTTTTATTTTAAAACCTACCCTTTTAGGTTTTTTGGGTTTATCACATACAGAGACTTTCAGTGTTTTGGTAATTAACTGCAATTAAAAATGTGATGAAGTCTCAGTCTTTTCTTGAGTATCTCAGTTGGTGAAGGATTGGACAAGGAAACACTAAAGTGAGAGGGAAAAAAGAAATAATGTAAAAGCAGAGTGGTTCATAATTAACTAGAAGCAATTGTGGTTTTCTGTGAATTAAAAGAGAAATTAATCTCACTCAGATCAGATCTAACCTGGGAAGAAACAGAAGTAAAAGAAGTTTTGTTTGAGCTACATTACTCGTTCTGAATAGTCTCATTTGTGGTGGAGTTTTATACAAAAAGGGGACTAAAGGGACTTTGGGGGGAAAAAGAGAACAAGAACTGTGTGATAAAGGCAAAAAGTAAGTGTTAATGGCAATTAAATGAATTTACTTGTGTAATATGTAAAATTTTCTGTGGACATAAAATAGTCAGGATTCCTCTTGCCTCAAATAATCAGAAAGCTCAGTTTAGCTTTGTCTGAGCTGTGAACAATACCAGAGAACAAGTTTTCATTTCATAAATGTAAATATTCCCAAGAAGTTATTCAAAATACTTCATACGGTGATCAGCTTTGTTTGCAGTATCTCAGAAATTATCAAGGAGAAACAAAAATAAATCCAAAGATGAGAGACAGGAGTTTCAGAGAGCTCTGCTATCTTGATAATGGATGTACATTATCAAGAGGCAGGATATTGAGTCCTGTTCCAGCTGTTTGGACAAGACACCAAAATAAATGGATATAATAAGCTCTCATGCATTGGAGAACAAGACAGCTACTAATTGATGAGGACAGGGAGAAGCTTTTCCTATGAATCAGGAGCGCCTAGGATCAGGATTTGGGCAGTAGCTGCTTGTTGGGGATGGAGAGTTTGCCCCTTGTGCAGCACCAGGTTGTGCATTCAGCTTTCATCACTCATCTGGTGAGCAGCAAAGCTCTAATGCACCCCTCCTTTGAGCTAGTGCAGCTAAGCAGAACATCCAGCATTTCAAACAGGCTTGGATTAGCAGTGGTATTTCTTCCATGGATACTTCAGAGGATGTAAAGCTCTCTCCTGCATGCTGAGAAGGAAAAGGGACCACGTTCTGGCACTGAGCTGTTTATGGAAGGTGATTATCTCAGCTGCAGAAATAAGAAACAAGAGTCCCTTTAGACAGGCTGTTCTGAGGAGCCCAGTCCAGATTGCTGTTACGTTCATTCTTTCCACGTCTTCCTTTTCTTTTTTGGCAACTCTGTGTTTGTGGGAACAAAAGTGCCAAAATCATTTGAGGGGAAGCAGATTTTGCAGCCTGGATGGCTTGGAAATCTCCCATACATAAGGAAGTGGATCTATCATCTTAAAAGATATTCAGCCTACATCTGAGGACTCAAAAACCTTTCTCATGTGATTCATGGAATAGTACTGAACTTCTGTCACAAGTGTTCCAGTAAATCTGCTCCTCCTGCCACCTCATCACAGGATGACTGGGATCCTGACTAGTTTCTGGTGGTCTGTCCCTCTACTGCCACTATGAGCCTTAAAATACGTGGAGAGAGGAAATCTGCTTTTGTTCTTCCTGCTCTCATTGGAAACTTCTGCCTGTACTCTAAGGCAGAATAATCTACTCATGCTCTGCACAGACCCAAAGACTCTCCAGAGTGGGTTGCCTTGTTCAGTGATGACCAGTGTGTGAAAGCAAGCTACTCAATTCCTGAATCCTTTGATGTTATCCAATATTTCATGCCATGATAAAATCCCTTCTCCTTCAATGCTCCTTTTCTTCCTTCAGCTTTTTGGTCCCACAAATTTTTTCTCGGCATTGAATTAATTTATAAATACACGTGCCAGACCAAATATTCACTGCAACCCTGTCCAATTTTTTTTTGTTTGTTTTGTTTGTAATGCCTTGATTATGTTAATGCAACGAATTCGACTTCGCTGGAGTTGAACCAGCTGGTATCTGAAAAGCTGAAACTCAGAAAGAACATGTTTATTGTAGTATCAGGCTGTGGGTTTGGATTGTGGTAAATTCATTGTCTTCAGTGGAATTTATTCCTGTTTGAACTCCTAGAAGTGAAAACAGGGCACAGCCGTTAGACCCTGATTCATCTCTGGTGCCAGCTGTTACCTTTGATGTCTGCTTTATCAGGAGAAGCTGTTGAGGTGCAGGGTTTTTGATGGGGATTTTAGCACACTAAGGCTTTTAATAGAGAAAGTAACACAGAAAATATCTCTACAACTCTATAATCTATGTTTCTCAACATAAATGTAAGCCCTGTACATCTGAAGTTACATTTCTCGTCATTGCCAAAGCTGGATTTAAGGTGATGGAAAACATTGCATGTTCTAACCTTATAGTTGCTGTGCATGTATGTAACCATGGCTTCAGACACATCTCTTTGTAAAAATATCACCTTTATTGTAAAAGATAATGGGTTAAAAAATGTGTGTTTCTTAGCTGTTATCAGGGCCCACAAGAGAGCAGGAGAGGGACTTTTTACAAGGACATATTGTGTCAGGACAAGGCAGAATTGTCAGAAAGCGGAGTTAGATTGGATATTGTGAAGGAATTGTTCCCTGGGAGAGTGGCAGGCCCTGGCACAGGGTGCTCAGAGCAGCTGTGGCTGCCCCTGGATCCCTGGCAGTGTCCAAGGCCAGGCTGGACAGCCTGGGACAGTGGGAGGTGTCCCTGCCATGGCAGGGGATGGAATGAGACGAGTTTCAAGATGAACCCAAACCATTCTGTGATTCTGTGATCCTTTGTGTTTCTCACCTGGTGTCTCCCACCAGATGTCCCCTCCCTCTCTTGGCATCACCTGACATCATCCCCAGCCTGTCTGGAATCCACGTCAGGGCTGGATTTCTACCAAAATTTGAGAGTAAATCTTTGAAAGGGAATGTCAGGCCATATTTCTGCCTGTGGAGGTGCTCAGGCCTCCAGCCACGAGCCCCTTTGTGACAGATGGAGTCAGACCCACGGGGTGCCAAGTCTCTCCCTTTCTCTGATCAGAGACGTGTTGCTGGCTCCTGGCAGCCACCAGCACAATCCATCCTGGCCTGTCCCTGGAGGCTCTTCTCCTTCAGTCTGGCACCTCCTCTCAGGGATCCAGCTGATGCTCAGCAGCCCTGACAAACCTGCCCTGGCCACTCCAGAGCAGCCCCTGGCTCCCTGGCCACCAGCAGAGGCACTCACCAAACTGGGATGCAGGATTTCACACCTGTCCCTTCCCACCTTCAAACCCTCCACAATTCTCATCATAACAGGTTGCTGCATCCAAGTTGGCTCGTGCCCAGAAACCCAGGGAGAAAATGGCACTTAGAAAAGCCAACATGTATATTCTGTCACTTGGATTTAAGATGTTTCTCGTCTTCTGAAATATTTTCATCTTATTTGAATATTCTTGCTGCAAAACAGGTCTTTGGATACAACTGTGCAGGGAGCTGGAAGCTCAGGGTGTATGGGGTCTGCTGGCTCCTGTGTAACATGAGGCTGCTTTTGAGATCTGTCTGTGACAGGGCAGAAGGTTTGTGGGCACAGGTGGAGATCAGAAGCCAGGGTCAGCTTTCTGTGCAGTGAGGTGCCTCCTGCTGTGTGTGCAGCCAGGAGAATCTAAAAATTTGCTTTTCTTTTCACCTTTTTAGCACATGCTTGACTGCACAAACTCGGTGTTTGCTAATTGGTGGCATGGGGTGAAAGAAATCCTGTAGCAGGTTTTGCAACTAACATTTACTAATGTCCATTACAGATAAAACGAAGAAATATGAATATTGCTGAAATTAGTATCAACAAATAAATATCAAAGCTCTTTGCTAACTTCATTAAGTTCAGAGTTTGGTACATTCCATGAAGGAACAAAGAGTCTTTCCAGCTCCTCATTGAGAACACAGAATCCCAGAATGGTTTGGGTTAGAAGGGACTTCAAAGCCCATCCAGTGCCATCCCTGCCATGGCAGGGACACCTTTCACTGTCCCAGGCTGCTCCAAACCCTGTCCAGCCTGGCCTTGGGCACTGCCAGGGATCCAGGGGCAGCCACAGCTTCTCTGGGCAACCTGTGCCAGGGCTTTACCACCCTCAGAGTCAGGAATTTTTTCCTAATACCTAATTTAAATCTCTCCATCCTGCATCCCTGCTGTGGAAATGCATCTCGATGCAGCCATGCACACACACTTCCATCAGCACAGCACAATAGCAGCGCCAAACCATCACTCTTATTTTTACATGCAGCGTGTGAATAGGTGTGGGTGTGTGTTAACATGTTTTGTCAGGAGGAGAAATGTTTCTCTAAAGGCCAGGGATATGTGTTGAACAAAAAAGAATATTAATTTGCTTGGGTGAAAGAAGCAGCATCTTTAAAGATCTACAGAGGACCCTCTGTTCCTGTGGTTTGCTGTGTGAGTCTGTTCTGCAGAGCTTGTGGCTTCTGTTATTTGAGTTTTTTATTTATGAGGCTGAGGAAATCAGCCTGAAAGACAATTACTATTTTTAATCAATGAAAGCAAGGAGAGAAAAAGATAATCAATGGGCAAGTGCCAGCAGGGCTGTTCTTTTTTTCCTCTCCTTGCCTCGGTGGATTGGCAGTGCTTTGGTGCTGTCAGATCAAAGGGTGCTGTGCTTCAGTCAGCTTTACAGCCCTTAGATCTCACCTGCTTCCCCCTGGAATGAGGATTGCCTGGTGTGGGACACGGTGTCAGCCCAGCTCCGTGAGCACAAGGGAGGGCAGTCCCTCCAGGGTGGGGACAGCTGCATTTGTCACAGCTGCTCAGCGAGGTTCACCTGGTTTTGCTGTCATTTATGGATTTAAAATAGGAAATAAGTTCTCCCAGGTTGTTGATGTGCATTCCTTCACTGCTTCCTTGTCTCCAGCTGTCAATTCCTGCAGCATTAACAACGGGGGCTGTGAGCAGGACTGTGTTCAGCTCAGTGAGGACCACTACACGTGCCAGTGCCAGCCAGGCTACCAGCTGGACACAGATGCCAAGTCCTGCCAAGGTGAGTCCTGTGCTACCTGCCTGAAGACACACAGTAAATGCAATTTAAAAGACCCCAGGATGATGTTTTGGGTCACTGTGTTCATTCCTATTTCTCCCTGTGTGCCAAAAGCAGCTTTAGTTATTACTCATTAACAGGATTTTAAAAAAGCATGTGTTTGAGGTGTGAAGTTCACTTTGAATCACAACTTTGAACAAGATTTTGGCCTCGTAGATCCCTGGCTGTTCCCTGCACAATGATGGTGATAGCATAGGTTAGGAACTTAATCATGATTTAATTCTAGCACTTTATTGTTCATCAAGTTGTATATAGAGTTGGCCTGCATTACATGTTTTATTCTACAAAAGGTCTTCTCTTTACCTCCTTTTGGCTTATCAAAGTCTGATTCATTCATCCTCCCCTTCAGGTTTCTAAGCACTCTCTCAAGCAGAACAGCAATGCTACCTTTGGGTTTGATTGTTGCTTTTCTTTTCTTGTATATCTTAACATATTCATCAGTTTTGAAGGCAACCCCCCCACTCCCCAACACGAGCACACACACACACACCCTTGAATATGCCAGAGAAAGATAGGGCCAAATTTATGGATTTATTGAGCTGAAATTCCTGTCACAAAACCGTTTCCATATGGCTCCTCTTCTGCTCGGAGATTTTACACGCTGTGGATGAAGTGTAAGTAAATCCTGCTGTTCAGATGGCTCCCAGCTCCTGCTGGGTGCACAGAACTCTTCCCCTTTGGTTTGGGCCTCCCCAAATCCTGCTCTCTTGGGGGCTGCACCTCAAGGAGCACCCACAGCCTGGTGGCCTCTCTGTCTCTCATGGGGTGGCCACCTTTTGTTCCTGAGATCATCAGAAAGAGACAGAAAAGGGGAGCTTTAGGGAGCAGGGGGTGTTAGAGACCTCCCTCCACGGTTCTCCATCCCTTTTCCAAACCTCTGCAGATGTGTCTGGCCAGCTGGCTGTGCACAGCCTGCACAGGACTTTGGGATGGGCTTTCTGGAGTGGTGGGACAGAGGTTGGGTCAGAGGGGTCTGAGTGTGGCGGTGCCAGGTGGGGTGGGAGCTGTCCTGGAGTGGTCACGGCACAGTTCAGGCTTCCATGGACCACCGATGCTCTGTCTCAGCTGGAACCACTAAAGGAGGAGCTTTTGCCACCACTGTCCACCCCTTCACATGGTGGGGCTGAAGAGAGTTTGTCACCAGCCTGTCATTACCGAACACTGGAGAGGGGAGGGTCAGCCCTGTCTGCAGGTGTGGCATTACCTGGGTGCCTGCTCACCCCTGGCTGCTCAGGGTGCTTGAATCCAAGTGCAGCACTCCCCAGGAGGGCGGCTGTGCTTGGGGGGAAGGAGGATCTCTCTTGTAAGCAGAGCTCAGCTTGCAGAATGAAAATTGAGTAGGATGACTTTTCCCCCATAAAAACCTCGATGAATGAATGCCTGGGAGAGAAAAGTGCTAGGTAAGCCCATGGACAAGATTTTTACAGGAACAAATGCAGGTGAAGTGGTCATGAATGCATTTGGGTTGTCAGTTCAGAGATATTTTAGGTAGAAGAGGTGGGAGGAGGTGAATCTGGCTGGTTTTTTATTGTCCAATTTAGCTTCTGGAGTCGTGGTTTGGATGGAGGAACCACAGTGCTGTGAGAGTGTTTGCCACAGCAGGTGTAGGTGTTGTGCAGGTGTGGATTCATCCCTGGGGACTCCTTGGGAGTTAATCCTGCACCCACAGCCCTGGAAAGCCTGGAAACACCCAAGCCTGGCAGTTTTGCTGTTTACCACTGGATATTTTCTCCAGTGTGAAGTCATGGTTGCTGTGAACAAGAAAATTAATTTGACAAGGCCCAAAGCTCTTTTCTTTAGGTGCTCCAGAGGTCATGGCAGACAGGACTGGAGATCCTGTTCTTTACAGCCTTGTAGTGAAGGTCTGGAAGGTCTGCCCCATCCCTGGAAATGTCCAAGGGCAAGCTGGACGGGGCTTGGAGCAACCTGGGATAATAAAAGGAGTCCTGCCCGTGGCAGGGGATGGAGCTGGATGAGCTTGAAGGTCCCTTCTAACCCAAACCATTCTGGGATTCTGTGTCCTGAGGCACCTGGGAAATGAAATGATGCCAGTAAATTTTTCACCATGGTATTTAACAGCTTGGAGTAGAGCTTTGTAGGATGGAGTCTGTTATCTAGTAAAGTTATTAAATGAACCAGTAAGAGGCAAATGTGTGAAAAAAGAACACTAATGAGTTATTTCTGGCTTTTCCAGAAACCTGCTTCTAACAGGAGCATACATATCACTGGAAAGCAAGTCAGTCACTGATTGCCTTATGTCCTGAAGATCTTTCCTTTACAAACTTACCTCATCCGAGGATTTCCAAGGCTTCTATCTTTATTTGAATTACTATGTTTTGCTAACGTCTACCCTGTAATTTGTTGTTTGCCTGTTGTCATGTCACAGAGCATTACAAGCTTTACTCCGTGCTGTAATCATTCTCAAATTAAAGCTTTAGCTGCTCTGAAAACCTTCATAATATGCAGGTTTAACAGATGCTGTTTGATAGTGATTTCATTTAATTTACCCAAATAGAAAAGGAATCGGCAAATAACTCAATATTTCATATCAGCAAGGAGTGAGTTCTTGCTTGGAGCTAAATCCTTTGTAGACCGCAAATTGTCGAGCTGCAGAGCCAAGTTGTCAGCCTTGGAAGTGTCACGCACGATGAAGTGCTGCTGTTCCTTGGAAACCTATTTGCAACCTATCGTGTCAGAAGTCCAATTTCAGTTCTACATCCCTAACCATGCCTTTTTTTTTCAAATTTTATTTTATTTTTTTTAATACTGTCAAGTCAAACTCAGCCCTGCCGACTGGAACGGTTTGTGTGTCGTGTGTTCTCGAGATGGCAGGAGGTGACATGAGGGAGTTTGAGGGTGTTCTGTGGCAGCTTCCTCCTTTACCAAATGGTGGCACAAAATGACACTTGGCTGCACAGAAAAGTGACAGAAAAAAAGCCCTGTCCCATATTTAAATCCACATGAAGCAGAGGTTTTTCTCTGCTATTCCCTTCTCATGTGTAGTCAGTGGAAGAGCAAGTCCAGAGCAAAACCCTCCCCAGGGCTCCTCAAACCCTGACTCCAGTGTTGTTGAGCTGATGGTGACTTTCCTCTGGGGCTCTGAGAGAAGATGGCTTACACAGAGCAGGGCCTGGAGGCAAGGGAGGAATACTGGTCATCAGTCTCAAATCAGACAGTAATTAGTAAAATGCTGAAACTGAATTAGAGCTGTAAAGAAACAGGTATAGCTTTTAAGAAGTTATATTCAAAGTCAAGCAGAACTCTAGAGGATACATTTTCAAGGTGTCCTCCAAATTTACCTGTGCAGTGTTATCCACCAGAATTTCGGTGTAATGAGTTTTCTACAAAGCAAATCCTCAGCCTGGTGCAGAATGTCAGATCTCAGCCCAAGTCAGACCTGTCTGAAAAGTCGTGCTGGGTCTATTTTGGGGTGTTCCAAGACCTCTATGTGGGCAGTACGCTTCCAGCAGGTACATGTTCCAGAAATAAACCCATAAAACACAGTGAAAGCTTTGAGATGGAGGCTTCTGTAGGCATTTCATGAAAGTTTTCCTAAGTACTTGCTACTTAGAGCAGCTTATCCTTGAAAAGGTATGTTATTGTTCAAGAGGGGGAAAAAAGCCTTGATGTACAACATGAATGGCATATGTTTATAGACTGAAAGATGTCTTTGGGGGTTCTTCAGTGTTTATTTCCTATCGAGCCTTTTAAATATTCATTGTTTTGTGGTGAACTCCATCATTGCGTGTGTTTATGGATTCACACATACTGGAGTGCTAATTGCTGTTGTTTAGAGAGAACTCTTGAAATCTGTTCAGGTACAGCAAAATAACAATAAAATGTACTTTTTTTTGTCCTACTTCCAATGTAATACAAGCTCAGTTTCCTGCTGTTTAAAGCCTCGTTGCTGCTCTGTGAAAAATGTTGTCCAGCAACAAAGAACATCCAGAAAACAGCAGCTGTACTCACCAGCTGCTGTCACATTTTTTTTCTCCAGTCTAATCTCTTAGAGCTACTTCGTTGTTAGTTGTAACAATGGCAGGTAAGACTATTTCCAGGCAAAAAGTGACCTTTCAGTTGACAGTGTGCTCTAATTGGTTTCAGTGATAGACCCCTGCACAAGTGGGAATGGAGGATGCTCACAAATCTGTCAGAGCGAGAGAGGAATTGCAAAATGCGGGTGTCATCCAGGGCATTCTCTTTCCGTAGACAAAAAGTCCTGTTTAGGTAAGAAACTCTGGACTCTTTATTGTGAAGAAAGTTATTCATCAGTGCTCTGGCTTACTGAGCTTAGTGAGTGGAAAGGGATATGTTATACAAATACGTGTGTGCATTTTGAAACAGCGTTTCTCTCTGTGATGTTCACATCAGCCCACAGTCTTGAAGGAGTTTTTTAGTGGTGAAAATTCCTCTGTGATCTCTGAAGTCGTGCTTTCTAGCAACTGGGTTTGTGAATGCTGTAGTGTTATTCTTGCAGGGTCCCTTTAAAATAATGTCCCAGATACAGCTCCTGGAAAATTGGTTCAAGTAAAACTCTGAACCAGGTCACTGAAAACTATTTAGAATTCAAAGGGCTTTTTAGCTGGAGAACTGTTTCCATATTAATGGAGAAACTACTGTGAAGGAAGAAATCATGATGTGTAAGATTTCCAAAGAGGGGAGCTTAAAAAGTTGAATTCTAAAGTCCTGTATTTAGTCTGGGGTTGTCAAAAGGATCTGTAGTGTTTCTGACCCAAAATGTGGGGGAATTAGAGGTCAAAATACCTGCTTTTCTCTTTCAGTGAAACTCTTGGAAGATAGTTCAGTAGCTTTATGAAGTAAGAAGCATTTATGGACTTGATGGTGCACAGGTTTTTAATAGCCAAGTCAGGATTAGGGGGTGTGTGTGTGAATATAAATATATATATATTCAGACACTAATTTTACACTCCTCTTTTGAAAACTTGGCCAAAATCTTGTTGATATTTAAATAATTGTTGCATATAAAGGGAGCTGGGTACCTTTCAAAATATTTACTTCCTACCCTGGGTATTTTACTCAGTTGCCTGTAAGCCCTTCTGTGAGTAGAATGGCAGATCTTAGTGATTCTCTCTTACTGGAATTACTCATGAGTAATTACTGAAAATCAAAACTATTTTCAAGTAATGTACTGATAATGAGTGGATGGAAACAACAGTGGGTTTAGCAGTAGGGTCAGCCTGTTATTCATTTTATCTCAGACACGCAATGACAGTTCCGTTGATTTATGGATAAACTGAATCACTGAGTTAACTTGCAGTCTTATATATTGGAACAAATTTTCTCCCCAGCCTCATGGCAACAATCTTTTGAATCATTAAGCAGCGTGTCTTACCATGGATATACAATTATTGGTTTTTGCTCCTAGAAGTTACTCAATGTCTTTTGCAAAATTCAAGCTGTTGTTCGACTCTCTGGAAACCGAGCTGGAAGGAGACAGAGGGCAGCTGAAGTGTCATACTTCAGCTATTAGCTGTAGGACAGGAAGAAACCTGTGCAGGATGGTAGCTGTGGTTCAACTTTCTATTTTTCTATTTAAAAAGAAGAAGAGAAAAGCATATTTACAGCGTTGGCCAGCACAGCGTACTCACCAACTGACAATTAAGAGAAAAAGGAGAAATAACCCATTTTATTCTAAGCAGCAGCTGCTCCCATGGCTGCTTCAGAGAAGCTGTCATTTGTCCTGAAATTTTCATGAGCCAGTGTGTGGTGTTTGCAGTGCCTGGGGCCTCTCTTTGCAAGGATCCTGATTGCATCCCTCAAGCTCCTTGTGCTCAAGTGCAGGGGCCACGAGCACAGCACTGGGCACAGCACGTGTGGAAGGACAAAACTCTTAGAAAGTGGTTTTCTGGGATAAAAAGCAAAGAGCTGCACATCACACTGCTCCCTGCCACTTTCAAGACACTGACCCGGGATCAGTGCAATAAATAATTTCTGTTTTGCCAGAAAGATGTCAGAATGGGAAGGAACAGGAGACGGATCTGGGGTTTGCCATGTGTGATCCCAGTCTTTGCACAGAGGTTCTGTGCAGCTGTATTTACTGTAAATTTTTGTGGGTTTGGTTTTTTTTTTAACTAATTACTCCTTAAAAGTGCTTTCATGTTCCACTGAGATTTTAGGACAATGGACACCTTTGGGGGCATTTAACTCCAAAATACAGACCAGCAAGTGTGAAGCTGAGGAGCAGCCTGCTTGAGAGAGGGCTCGGGGAAGAGCAGCCTCCCCAGATCATTTGACATTCAGAAAATCATCAGCTATTTCCTGATCCCCTAATTTAACTATAATGGCTTGGAGAACATGGTGATAATTTCAGAGTTTTGGAAATTTCTTCTGAGTTCTTCACACGAGGTCTTCTTTTGCCATTGCTCTTTTTACAGGAATAGTAAGTAAGTTGCTTTGGCTGATACTGCAAATATAGTGTGTGATACTGTAAATGTTCACACTGAGAAGTTCAAGGTCAGTGGTGCTCAGAAAAAAAGATTGATCTGGAGAATAATGTGAGTATAATGTTCCTGGGTTCATGAGGTGCTGCCCCTTGTAGACAGACCCCAGGATAAATCCTTCAGCAGATATTTGGAGATGCAGCCACCTCCATGCAGCACAGCATTATTTTTCATTTCAATCTCCAGCTGAACGAGTTTCTCTCTGCTTGCAGATGTTGATGAGTGTGCAGAGGGCAGAGCCAGGTGTGCCCATCGCTGTGTGAACACCCCGGGCTCCTTCAGCTGTGCCTGCAGCCCCGGCTTCGAGCTGGGCGCGGACGGGCGCCAGTGCTACCGTAAGTGCCCTGCTCCCAGCCTCTCCTCTCTGCTCCCTGCCAGGCCTCTCACTCCCTGGGATTAGCATTCCCAGCAGAATGAATGTGTGCAAAAGCTCAAGCTTAATACTGTTTTCTTCCTCTGCTGCTGGGTTTGCAGGGTGACACGTTCCTAAGCCTGTGTTCACAGACCTTAATTACTGCCTTTCAAAGAGCAAATAGCCCTGTTGGTTTATCTTCTGAGTCTGGTGAATTCTGCTGCAGAGCTACCAGAATTCTGCTGTTCTGTGAAATGTATTCATTCCTGCCCTCCTCCTCCTCCTCCTCCTCACAGCTTTCTTACAGATCTGATGCAAGAGAAAACCAAGATGTGTTCTGCTCTTGTCTTTACCTGTCTGGCTTTGCATATGTTTCTCCCAAGATTACTGACACTATTTAAGAGGGTGCCTTTTTTTTTAAAAAAAAGATAGATTTGGGATGAAAAAAATAGTTGAACAGCTCAAACTTCCCAAACTAAAGTGAGCCTTGTTGTCTTTCCTCACGTGCTTACCTCTTGCCAGCGGGGTTTCTTAATCAACAGGGCTTTTCTGGAGAGGGGGACTGACTCCCGGTGCTGTTAGCTGATAGGTGATCCCTGGCCTGCCCTTGAGGGCAAATTTAGATTAATAAAGGAGGTGATGTGGAAGAGTTGGGGTTATTATGGACCTAACATAAGCTCCCTGGAATGCAGACAAAAGCATGACCTGTTTTAGCAGAGAGGTGGGCAAAGATCATTCAATCTAATAATACTGTGCAAGAGCTTTCAGCAGAGCTTCCTTAGGAAAATACGCTGCATGCCAGAGAATGAGTGCTTTATTTAAGAATGTGTGTGTAAAAAATAGTTATTAAGAATGAAATCCAGTTTCAAGGCATTAACATACATTAAAAACAAAACCCAATTATGTGAGAGGCATCCTGGAGAGTTATTTCATAGGTGTTGGGGAACCGTGAGTGGTGCAATGGCAGAGGAAATGTGATTAATATATAGATATGCAATCTTCTGTCATAGGCATAAAAAAGAGGTTTAAACCACTTAGATTTCATTGTGCTTTTCTGATAATATTTTTTTCTGGATGTTCAGCAGATCTCAGGGGATGGTGATTCTCTGTGCCTCATGTAGAATATTGCAGAGCAAACAATAAAAATAAAAACATTCTGCATATATTTATGATCAGGATTATCCCAGTGTTTGAGCAATTTACAATCTTTGTTTATTCTTTCATTTCCCCAGTGGCTGGGGAAGAGCTGGTATTTCAGCTTTACTGATGAAGAACTGAGACAAAGTAAATGATGAAGATAGTGTATAAAGTCAGATTCTGCATTTAATCGCTAGGTTTAGTAAATCCAAGCTTAACACACTGGACAGGAGACACGATTTCTTCTCCCTGGTGCAAATAATCACACTGTGCATGAGATATGGATATATTTATTCTCTTAATTTATACCCTCTTCCAGCTGGAATTATATTTCTTGTTGGCAAGCAGGTTGCTCCCTGGGAGCACAAGGAGGGGTAGGACCAGAGCCCAGCAGCACAGATGTGTCTGGGGAAATTCTGTGCCAGATCTGATGGCCACCACTCTGAGCTGGGGTGTTTCTGGAAGGACAAGTGGCTCCTTTATCAAGAGTGTTTCTCCCTGTGTAGTAGGAGAAATTATTTCCTCTCTAAACAGCTTTGTAACAAGAGCTGGATAATCCTTCATGAAAAAAATATTTATAACTGACCTTATGGTTTCTTTTCATCCTGGAGAAATCATCTGATGAAGTAGCTGGGTGGGAATGAGGTGTCCAGGTGTTCCCTTTTTGATGTGAAGGCTCCCACTGGATGTTCTGAGCACTGTCCAGTGCAGCCACATGAGGAGGGCAGGGACGTCTGTCAGGGCAAAGGGGGCTGGCAGTGGCACTGTACCACCCTCAGCCATAGGGGACAGTCTCAGCAGAGCTGCTGTGTCCCCCTGGAAGAGACAGCCAAGAACCAGAACCTGGAGATAGTTTTCATTGTGGTTGGGTGTCCATTTCACCAGAAAGGCTCTGCTGAGGAACTTTCAATGCCTTTGTGTTTGGGGGATGTTTCAGAGTCCAGCTCTTTGCCATTCCCATGGAAAACTCAAAGCTGCTCTTTGGGAGGTGTGTCAGGCTGGGTGGAGAAGGCTGACCTAGAACAGAGGCTAGACAGAGTTAATAAAGTTGGTATTTATTGAAAGGCCTTAAAGGACACACCTTGGGCAGTACAAGAGCCTGGTCACAAAATGAATGACTGGTCATGAGGTCCCACATTTTTATAAGTTTTGTCCATCTGCATATCAGGGTTAATTGTCCAGTCACTGCTTCAGCTTATGAAGTCCCATCCTTCTTGCTTTCTCTCTTCAGCCCACTGTTGTTTCTGCTTTTGGACCTGAAAGTTGTAACAATTGTCCTTGGTGTCGAGCTAGAAAAGAGAGCTCACTGACACTTAATATGAGGCTTAAAACTACACACCTAGGCACCACAGAATATGAGAAATATAAAATCAAAAACTTAAGGCATTATGAGGGGCACCACCTGGGCTCCTCAGGTGGTTCTGTTCCTCCTTTGGGGCAAGAACTGTGTCCAGACAAAGCATAAACCTGAGGAAACCTGGGAAGACTCCTGTAGCAGGTGGCTGCTGGAACACTGGAGCAGCTTCACATGGCTGAATTTGAGAGCATCCACCGTTCTGACACAAACACCTGGAGCTCAGTGACTCCAAAGCCTGTTCTTCTGGGGAGGGCGTGTGAGCTGATTATACTCACTCATGGCTACTGCACTCATGGCTGCTGTTTTACAGCATGATCCCCCAGTGCCTCCCCCCTGGGCTTGCTTTTTAACATCCTTTTGATTTATTTCTCTGCAAGGCATCGAGATGGAAATTGTGGACAGCTGCCAGGACGGGAACGGCGGCTGCTCCCACCAGTGCGAGCACACGGCAGCGGGACCGCGCTGCTCCTGCCACCGCGGCCACCGCCTGGGCACGGACGGCAAAACCTGCACAGGTAACCCGTGCTGGGAGCAGGGAGCAGGTGTGGAAGAGCCCTGGGAGCCTGCAGGAGAGCTGTCGCTCAGGGAAAGGCTCCCAGTGCCTTCCCTCCTTCTGCAGGTGTTAATTAACGCCGTCCTCCGGCGCTGCTCCGGCTTGCCTGGCTCTGGGAGCTCGCTGGGATGGGGCACCAGGGGAGGGAGTGGAAGTGACACTGGTGCATCACCCCCGTGTCTCACCATGGGCAGCCCAAGCATCACAGCCCTGACTTGGTTTCCCTTCCCAGCTGGTGGCTGGAGCAGTGGCACGAGCACAAATTGGGCTCGGTGCTGCAGCCTCTGCCGTGTTCCCATCACGTTGGCTCAGGGCTGAGGTGACACCTCTGCCTGGGAGAAGTCTCACTTGGGAGGTGAAAGCAACAGAGTTAGATTTGGGTTTATTTCGAGACAAGAGCTTAAAAACTCATTCATGTTTTGAGCAATTCCACGATGAGATTCTTTTTGTGTGCATTTGTTTCATGTTTTTGTTTTGTTTATGGCTTTTGCCATGCAAAGTGTGTCTCGTTCTGCTTTGGGCTTGCTGTCGCTATGCCATTGCAATTTTCAAGAATAGCCAGGAAGAGAGGGGGGATGGAAAAAGGAGCAGGCACCACACAGCAGTGTAGTGAGATATGAGATGATGAGAAGAGGTAGGGAGTGGGAGCACTGATGAGTGTGAGAGGCATTACAGACAAAAGGAGTCTTGCAAGGAAAAAAAGCCAAGTGCAGGAGAGAGGAGGAGCAGGGGAGGAGGGAAGCACTGAGGGCTGCAAGGGCGGGTGATGATGGAGCTTAAAAAGCAAAACAGAAGAAGTTTGGGAGGCAGATTTGGAGCCAGAGCCTCACAGGGGTGGGTGGGTTACACAGTCTTGTCTGTACAGCTGACAGGAGGCAAAGCAGCCTCCTGCCCACATCCCAGCTCAGTGACCTGCTGCTGGGGATTTCAGAAGGAAGCAGATACTCCAGACACAGCAAGGGAAGGGGGAGAACACAGAGGAAGGCTGAGGACATGAAAAGTGGCTCTTAACAGCAAAAATCTCCTTTTTGTTGGATGCAGATTTTGCATTCCTACACAAAGGGGCTGCTGCTGGAGCCCAGAGCGAGGCGTCACCTGATGTACTGCAGAGGAGCTCAGCTCGTGACATCTCTGGAAAACACTGCCTTCAAATAACCTGCATTAATCATTTTCACACTGACCTCCTCACCTCCATTGATTAATTACATTTTCTTTCTCCTGTCCCCATTTCCTCATAAAGTTGGTGCTCCTTCCAAGGTTAATTGAGACACTGACCTTTCCCACCTGCAGCTGCTCAGCCAGGCCCTGTTCAGAAGCATTCTGCAGACTCAGCACTGACAAGGTGGCCCTTGGATGGCCACTGACCTGCTCAGCAGCCTGACAGCAGCCAGGAGCCTGCAGTGCACAGATAACAGCTCAGCTCTCCTATCTAATCACCACAACAGTGGTGTCAATGATACCAATTTCTGAGCGAGCACAGAGCAGGAGGAGGCAACAGGAAATCAGTTATCAAAAACTACAATTGATCCTTCCAGGCTGCTGCTGTCCAGCAAGTGCCTGGTTGGATCAGAGCATTGCTAGTTTGCACTGAATAAGGTTGAATGTAAAGAAGTCTGAATAGTCAAATGTAGGTTACTGTTAAACAGAACACTTTTGAGGGCTGGTGGGTCCTTGCTGTTGTCTCTTTACATAGAACCACAGAATATTCTGAGTAGGAAGGGACACACAAGGATCATTGAGTCCCATTCTTGGCCCTGCACACACCAACAACCCCACCCTGTGCAGACAGGAGCGGTGTCCAAACCCTCCTGGAGCTCTGGCAGCCTCAGGGCTGCCTGGGGAGCCTGGGCAGTGCCAGAACCTTTCTTGATATCCAACCTAAAACTCCCTGGCACAGCTCCAGCCCTTCCCTCAGGTCCTGTGCTTGGTCAGCAGCGAGACCAGCTGGTGTTCTCTAAATCCCCTCATGGCAGCTCAGACTTGTAGAGGAGAGGCCTCTCCCGGGACATGGAGGCTCCTGGCTGCTGTGGGAGAAGGTGGAAGGCAGGTGCTGCCAGGATTCAGGGTTCAGAGGTGTTTGTGTGGTTGAAGGGAGGTGTAAAGCGGTGAGTGCTGCAGCACAATAGCTCTGAGCAGAGCTGTGGCAGCAGCTCAGGGTGTCTCCATGTGCTGCCCTTTCCTTGCAGAGGTGGATGAGTGTGAGACTGGAGAGTCCTGCTGCTCCCAGTTCTGCATCAACTACGCGGGGGGCTACGAGTGCGCCTGCCAGGCGGGGTTCCAGCTCAGCACCGACGGCTGCTCCTGCGACGGTGAGCGCCGACTCAGGGGCTGGGCTGGGCTGCAGGGGACCTTAAAGCACATCTCATTCCACCCCTGCCATGGCAGGGACACCTTCCACTGTCCCAGGCTGCTCCCAGCCCTGTCCAACCTGTCCTGGAACACATCCAGGGATCCAGGGGCAGCCACGGCTTCTCCGGGCAACCGGGGCCTCACCATCCTCATGGGGAAGAATTCTCTCTTAATATCCAATCTAAACCTTCCCTCTGTTAGCCTAAAGCCATTCCCACTTGTCCTGCATCATTTCATGCCCTTGTCAAAAGTCTTTTAGTACCAGTGGCTCGGTCTAACTAATCACAGCCCAGGGTAGAAGAAATGCTGTCAAAGCCCTTTGCAGGGATTTGTGGGCACTGCCCTAATGAGAGTCACTGACCCCGTGCCAGCTTTGCTGATAAGGTTTTACAAACGTGTAATTTCCACTCTGTGAGGCTGGAATACAGGAATAACCCAGAATCCAACATGGGGAAGTGGGGATTTGGGAGATGTGCCAGCAGAGAGAAACTTTCCCTCCCCTCTCTATGGACACTGTATATTGATGTGTGTTAAACACTCCTTCCACAAAAGAAGAGCCCTCAAAATAACTGAAGGATCAACTGAGCTTAACAGCTTCAAGCATCTGTTTTCACTCGGGACAAAAACATCAGTGAAATAATCTGCTCCCTGTTGCCCTGAAATGTTTTCATACCTCCAATACCAGGGAGAAACGGAGAGCCCCAAAACACATAAGAAAAATTGTGTTTTCTTATGTATAGAATAATTTGTCAGACGCAGCTGGGCACAGCATGGGCTCTCCAAGCAGAAGTACTTGCTCCTAATCACCATTTATGTCTGGATTTTCTAGATGTGGATGAATGTGGTCTGGATAACGGCAACTGTGACCATTTCTGTGTGAACTCCCTGGGGTCCTACGAGTGTGCCTGCAAGGAGGGTTACAGGCTCGGGGACAGCAGATGGGCCTGCGTGGGTGAGTTCTCCTCAAAACTTGAGGGCCATTAAGCACTTCCCACTGATTTAAAATGTGGTTTTGGAAGGGGGATTTTCACAGATCCTGGGATTTTGGGAGCCCAGCTTGAGCCATCTCTGAACGTGGCCAGGGTAGGGCTACGTGCAGTGCGTGGATCCAGGTTCATCCTCCAGTAATGGGTTTTGCCAAAGATTAATGGCAGATGAACACTTAAATACCCTGGACATGTTTGAAAACCTAAAGCTCCTGGTTTAGAAATAAATACTGTTTTGACACTTTTCTTGCACTATTTGATGAAGTTTAACATCCTGTGGAAAAAAAAGAAGGTAGCCAGATTCTTCTTTGAACAACCATGGCAAGTTTTCCATTAGTCAGTGACGTTATTCTGGATTTCTGCCAGTGTAACCAGTCCAGAGTTTAGCAGAGCAACTCAATTTTATAACCAAGTTTAGCAACTGCTAAACCTTAAGCCAGAGCTTGATATTCTGACCAACACCAAAAAGAAAGCCAGCTGATTTCCCGTCATTTTAAGGCTCAAATTTTAATGTTTCTGAAAATAAATTGCACAGCCGGCCTCACTTTCTATTTGTCATCTCCAAAACGGGCGAGAGTAATGACCTTCATTAACTAAAAATAATCTCAGACTTCAAGTGAGGAAAATGAATCTCCTCATTTCAGTTTGATTCTCCAGGAGCAGAGTTTTTTTCCAGAAGGAAGAAAAGGGAAAGATGGGGCGGGGAGGGCGTCTCTCCTTTTCTCTCTATTTTGTATTGGATAGCAGAAACTCTGTAAGTACAGATGAGAAAATGCCTGGGCTGGAACATGTCATGGCATCATAAGAGTGAGGAACAGATGTAAGTGCGAGGCTGTGGAGGCAGGCTGGGGTGCTGATGGCTGTGTTTGTCCTGCTCTAGGTGTGGAGGAGGTGGATGCAGAGGAGGCAGCGGGGCTGGCCGGCGCCCCGGGGCTGCAGCTCCCAGGGCCCCCCCAGCTGCTCCACTACGCACTGGGACCCCTGGCTGAGGATGGAGACCCCCGAGGGGAGCTCACCCTGGTGCACAGGGTCGGTGAGTCACCAGCAGTGCCCTGAGCCAGCACAGCAAACTGCGGGGATGGTCTCAGGGAGAGGATTTGGGGCTGAGCATCAGGAGGAGGGATGAGCGCTCATCCTGCATCCTGCCCGTCTCCATGCCGGTATAAGGGATAAGGCACTGCCACGTGTTCCATCCCAAATGGGATGTGTCTGAGGAGCCAGGAGGATGCCTGGATGCTTTGGGAGGGAGGCAGGGGAACAGTGAGCAGCACAACAAGCAGTGGCTGGGAGCTGCTTGGAAAACAGGCTGTCCCAGGGGCAGCAGCCAGAGGGAACTCATCCGGATTACTGCAGTGCCCTAAATCCCTGGGGAAACACTCCCTTTCTCCTACAGCTGGGAGCATGGCTCCCTGTTTACAAACCCTTTTATAACAACTGGAGGCTTTTTGTTTAAGATATTTGTGTTTTTTCTGTGTTAAAAAGGATCCTCTGAAGATTGAGGTTTCCCCTGACTCTCTGGGAAAAGCACCAGCCCATCCACGTATTGCTCAGCTCATGGTGGCAAACAGCACAGGAGCACCCACTGTCACAGGAGTGGGTGCAGAGCAGCTTTGCACCCACCTGGGCTGTGCATGACTCAGTCTTTCCATCCAAAACTTCACCATTTTAAGAGTAATATGAGGTGAAACCCAGTGTGTGCTGAGTGCTGGTGGATCACCAGGGAGGATTTCTTGGTTTTTTTCCTGTGTGTGTGTCCTGTGATTTTTATATAAACTCTATAATTACCCATCTGAGGACTGTGCCCTACAGGCAGGAATCAGGAGCTGGTCTTGACTTTAATAAAAAATTAACTTATCTTTATGAACAAAACTGTTGAGACCCTCCCAAATCACACAGCATCCAGCCGGACTCAGCGACACCGATAACCAACTGAGAAACTGATAAATGAGATAACCACAGGCAAAATTATCAGGCTTAGAAACCACAATCAAATATTTATTGACCACTTTTTGCATGTTTTATTTATATTTAGCCACAGAAATTTGGGTGTTATCAGTCACAGCTGAGCAGCTGCAAATTTTCTAAGGCTCAGGCTTTGCAGCATGCAGCGGTTTGTATGAAAAGGGGATGGAGAAAAGGAACTTTAAATGGTTTAGTAAGTTCTTTTACCTCCCAAATAGCAGTCTATTCCTTGTATTTTCAGGCATGGTTTTGTGCTGCTATCTATATTATAAAAAAGCCTGCTTTAGCAGTAAGCTGGTGCAAGTAATTAAATATTTTCTCTAACTGGAATGACTTTTTAAGGTGGAAGCATGATGTTTTTAATGGTAGTCTGTATTCTCCTGAAGTATGAATTTGTACCCTGTTCCAAGTGGGAGCACTGGGATTCTGAATGTCCCTGAAAGCTTGGGCATTTGTTCAGCTACAGAAAAGGGAACAGTTGGGTGCTCAGACCTAGAGGAAATCTGGCCTCACACAGAAAACTGTTGGTGAAATGCAACCAGCCTGTGACTTACTGTGGGCTGAAACAAGCTGCCAGCTCACTTTCAGGTGCTGTTAAAAATCCCCTTCCAAAAAGCCTCCAGCCACAGCCATAAAGCCTTGAAGGCTGTGTGGATGGGATTCTCAATGCCACTGAAGTATTTTATCAGACAGTCACTTTATTTTGTCTCAACAGACCCCACAAAGAGAACATGTGGGTGCAAGGGATAAAAGGAGGGTGGGAAAGGAGAGGAAAAAAATGCACTTTCGTATCAGGTTTCCTATATAAAACTCTTCATATCCATGAAGAGAAGAGACATGATAAATGTGTATTTTGCTTTGTTTTCCTAGAACACTCAAACTATGTGGTTGAAAATATCCCTGAACTATCTTTAAGTAGCACTACATCCACTTACTGCAATAAAACAACAGGGATAGCCTAGCAAGGAGAAGGAAAATCTCAATAAATTCTTCAAGGTATATACAATGTTATCAAGGTGCATTAAGGTGTCATCATCAGGTGCAAATTCACTTTTTCTCAAGGCAAAACTCTTGCTTTTAAAAAGTAGCTTGAAGTGCTCTTTGCTGGAGAACCACAGAATCCAGGGAAGTAAATTCCAGCTGCACTCCCAGCTTTCCTTTTACTCAGAGTCAAAAATGTGAAGAGGGAAATTGAGGAGTGCCCATTTTTCTGTGCCGAACCGGCGGTGTTTGTAACGCAGCGATAGGTAAGAGCTCGTGGCAGTGTTTTTGTCTGGCTGCTCACCCAGCCCTGTGTGTTTTTTTGCTGTCAGTGTGCCTGGGTGACACGTTTGGCCAGGACTGCAGCCTGAGGTGTGAGGATTGTCTGCACGGGGGCCGCTGCAACAGCGAGCGCAGCGGCTGCGTCTGCCCGCCCGGCTGGGCTGGTGTCATCTGCAATGAGAGTGAGTACAGGGGCTTGCAGGGGGAATGATCCTCCTGCAGGGACTCTGCAGGTGGGGAATGCGACCAACCCCTTGTATTTTTCATCTGTGAAGCTCCTGAAAGAGCACAGCTGTCTCATAATCAGATTTATTGTGCTGGGGCACATGAAATAGGAACTGCAGGTGATGCTGCAGTACACAGAGGTGCCTGCGCTCCAGTGAAGGTCAGGACAGAATCATTCCCATCCTAAATATTTGGCTGCTGTTCATTCCTCTTTGCTCTGCTGCTAAAAGCCAAAGTTTGCTGGCCATGCTTCATTCCACAACCTACCTTGGTGACTTCCAGAAGTCTGTCTCAGCAGTTGGGTGGACATGTGTGTTCAACTTGAGTTTTTCCATTGTAGCATACCAAGATATCGCCTTTTAAATTATTTTCTTACATTTTCTATTTCTTTTTTCCTTATCATTCTTTTTATTATTAGCATCACTTTCTTGGAACAGTTAATTTTTCATGTTGGAAATGGTATTTTTTTCAGAATTCTGTTGCCAAGTCAGTGCCCTTTATAATAGCTTTTCACTCTCCTTGCTCCTGTTTCCTGGCAGAAGATCTTTCTGATTCAGAAGTATGTGTCAAAACCCATTGGAAAGAGAGTGGTGATTTCTTGATATGCTGTTCTTCATCTGCAGTTTGGCAAAACTTGTCTGCTGCTTGTCTGAGACATCATACAGCAGATTTCCTGTTAGAGATGGGTCCCTCCATTTCATGGTGTGTGACATGATGGCCCATCATTCTCAGAAAGTCTTTGCTGTCACTGGTGAGACAAAAAAATCGATGAAAATTTATTACTTGACATCAGTAGACAGCACTCTTCAGGTTAATTGCCATCAAGATTGTTTAGGAGACGTCATCAGATGGACAGAAATGTAGAAAAATCAAGCAAGTGATTGAAACCAGCAGTCTGCCCATGGCTATTTTGGGAGACTGATGGCAGGTTTGGTTTGTAAACACTGGGGGGCAGCTAAGAGAATAGAAATGGGGAGGATTAAAATGATAATTTCTAGTCTGTCTAAGACAGTTCAAGCTATCAAGTGAGGATATTCTGACTTCTGTACCTGGTGTGCTGGTAGTTCAGGATAGATTGTGAAAGTTTCAAATCAGTATCCAAATTCTTTAGTTCATTTAATAAATAACAACATTTCTGATGTATATTTGCACTAGATATCCATGCACATAGTTTAATGGAATTCACCTCTGGAATTTAAAGAAATTTAAAGGACTGTGTTATTGAGCTAAACCTGCTGTCTGATGAAGTCAGTAGGAACAGTGATAAATACAATATCTAATCTGTGTGAATTAGTCACATGGGATTGCTTTCACTCTTTTCTCTTGCATTTTTTAATATACAGCACAATTCATGGGTTTAGGGTAAGCAGGTTTAGGGTAAGCTAAAACAGTGGAGAAAACTGGAACTAAATTTCTCTAATAATGCACCAAAGAAGCTGAATGGAAATTGATGTGAAATGTCAACTTTCTTAATGTACATTGATAAAATGTCAGCGAAGTCAGATGACTCCAGCAACTGTATTCACTCAGCCAGCTCAGGCTGCAAACAGCAGAATGAGGCTGCATCTCACAGTTTGTTTTTGCTGCTGTGGATCCACTGCTGCCACGATTACCTGGGGAATTTCAGAAACTACACTTGAAAAACAAGATGTTGTTTTCATAATAGTGCTTGGGAGAGAAAAAAATAATGCTTAAAATATTCATCTCCAAGTATTCAAAGCTGTGCTGTGATGTTTAAGCTTTGGACTTGACAGGCAGTGGTTTTTGAGCCTGTGCTTCGTGGGGAGGGAAGCATGTGCAGGGGAGGGGTGGATACATGACAGTACTTCCCAAAACTTGGTTAATTCAGTGTCCTTTGAGATGTCCTAGTAAATATCAGGTGGATGTGCACTGCTTTAGAGAAGAATATAACTTTGTTTAGAGCCTGCTCAACTAAAAGGACTCTCTCCTTGCTCAGTTTTCACAGAATCACAGAATCAATTAGGCTGGAAAAGACCTTTGAGATCGAGTCCAACCTATGACCCAACACCACCTTCTCAACTAGACCATGGCACAGAGTGCCACATCTAGTCTTTTCTTAAACACCCCCAGGGATGGTGACTCCACCTCTCACCAGGGCAGCCCATTCCGATGCTTTCTGTGAGGAAATTCATCCTGATGTCCAACCTGAACCTCCCCTGGTGCACTTTAAGGCTGTCCCCTCTTGCCCTATTGCTGGCTGCCTTGGAGGGGAGATCAGCCTCCCCCTGGCTGCACTCTCCTCCCAGGGAGCTGCAGGGAGCAATGAGGTCTCCCACGAGTTCTCCAGGCTCAACACCCCCAGCTCCCTCAGCTGCTCCTCACAGGACTTGTGTCCCAGACCCTTCATCAGCCTTGCTGCCCTTCTCAACACCCAAAACCCTGTTGTGCTCCTTTACAGCAGCCCTTGGCAGGTTTCCTGGTGTGCTCACGCTCCCTGCTCTCTCCACAGCCTGTCCCCCCGGCTCGTTTGGCAGAGGATGTGCCGGTGTCTGCAAGTGCCAGAACGGCGGCTGGTGTGACCCTGGCACGGGGCAGTGCCGCTGCCCGCCCGGCGTGCTGGGCCGGCTCTGCGAGGACGGTACGGCTCCAGCTCTGCCTCAGCCTCCCCTCTTCTCCCCCCTTCTTCCTTTGTTTTAAACAATGAGCACGACAGGGGGTGAGAAAACCCAGTGGCCATCGAGGCAGAGCCCCAGCTCGGCCACAAACCACTCTGGCGTTGGGGCTTTGACCCTCGGCTGCTGATGCCTTCCTGTGTTTGTGCACTCCAAAGGTTGCCCAAAAGGTTTCTTTGGGAAGAACTGTAACAAACCGTGCAACTGTGCCAACAAGGGCCACTGCCACAGACTGTACGGAGCCTGCCTGTGCGACCCCGGGCGCTACGGCCGCTTCTGCCACCTCAGTAAGTCCCCGGCGCTCTTCGGATCCATTTCACGTGTGCACAGCGGAACAGTCTGCAAAAGATCCCACATCACATAAAGGGGGCTGGCAGAAGGAAGGAGAGTGACTACCTGCACAGTCAGCACTAGGACAAGGAGGAATGGATTTACTAAAACAGTAGAGATTTGGGTTAGATGGTAGAAGAATGTTCTTTGCTGGCAGGGTGGGCAGGCCCTGGCACAGGTGCCCAGAGAAGCTGTGGCTGCTCTGGATCCCTGGAGGTGTCCAAGGCCAGGCTGGACAGGGCTGGGAGCAACCTGGGGTAGTGGAAGGTGTCCCTGCCCATGGCAGGGGGGTGGAATGAGATGGTCCTTACGGAACCTTCCAACCCAAACCATTTTATGATAAAATGAGCAAGATTTTGGGTTCTGCAATGGGCTGGGAGTAACAGGAGGGCTGGACTTCTGAGACGTGCCAGGAAGCCCCAGGAACTTGATGAATGTTTTCCTCTAGTGAATAATCTTTGCCATAAGGACTGAGATTTACTGATGCTCGAAGGTTAGAATTATAGGTGGGCTGGAGAGGTTAACATTAGGGACATTGCTGAGGTTGGAATCTGGTTGGAGCTGGTTACTGACTGCTGATGAGTTGCAGTGGGAGCTGGGGAGCAGGGCTGGCTGGGACAGGATGAGGATCAGACATTAGATGGAATAAAAAGAGTTAAAACAAAAACTTGGCAAAATAGATGGTCGAGTTTCTTTGTACTTACAGGTTTTGTTTGCAAAATCTGTACAAGACCAAAAATCTTTTGTATTTTGTTTTGCATTTTATTATGAAAGCTTTTGTCTTGGATTACACCCAAGTGTTTTTTCATTCAGAAAATCAGCAGAGTTTGCTTTGAAATGTTTCTGGTTCTTGCATTCACCATGGATTGCTTGACATGAAATGAATGACCTAACACGGGAATCATGTAAACTCTTCTTTTACCCACCCACACGTGAACTGGTACTGCTGTAGGAACAGGGATGTACCTGCTGAAAACAGAACAGAGGTTTTGCTTTTTTCAGCAGTTGCATGCTGCAGCAGCAGGCAGTTTCAGCCAGCTCCTGCATAATGCCAGAGCTGATGCTTCCTTTTCTTCTGTCTGCAGCCTGTCCCAGGTGGGCCTTCGGCGCGGGCTGCTCGGAGGAGTGTCAGTGTGTGAAGGAGCACACGCTGGAGTGCAGCCCCAGGAACGGCTCCTGCACCTGCCAGCCCGGATACCACGGCAAAAAGTGTCAGAAAGGTACCACACTCAGCCAGGTCCCCCACATCTGCTTCCTCCTTTGTCCCAGAAACTTCTCCTTCCTCCACCTGCCCGCTTTGTTTGGCTGCTGCTACTCATGTATTCATATCCTGCTAATGATTTTGTGGGGTTTTAACCCTGCTAGGCTTGCAGGGACATCGAGGAGAATAGAGATTAAGAATTGGAAGAGTTTTAGCCTGGTCAGATGACAACAGAAATCCAGAACCCAAATCCTAATACAATATTAAATAATGAAGATGATGTGAGTTTTTATCTCTGTGCTTTTTTAACACAGTCAGTAAATAAGTGGTGAAATCTGTGTTTTATGGCAGTGAGGTGATTTGTAAACAGGTTCAGTAATTCTGCTTTTCCTTCAGATTTGCAGCTCTTTGAATTCAACTTGCTCTTTGTAGTTTTTGGGGGTAGTTCAAAGAGAATTGTATCCCACATTCATGTTTGCATGTCTCAGTAGCCCTTTCCAGACAGCAGTGGAGTAACACAATAAAGATTCTCCCTTCAGATTTTTCTCTGGCCAGGCAGGACTGTGTTGGATTTATGGCAGTAGTTCTGGTGGGTTTGATGGAGAATAATAATGAAAATATTTAATATTTTTATCATTCTTGGTGATGGGCTCAGTTCTGACAGGGAGCATGCCTTGCCCAGCACTGGCTGTGCACCAAGGCAGAGAGCAGCAGAACTTAGATGTATAAGAAGAGAATTCTATAATGTATTTAATTGAATACATCCTCAAGTATTCTAATTGAATAAATCTTTAAGCACTCTATCACTCTGTTTCTGGGTTATATTTAAGCAGTAACCTTGTTGAAACGTAAGCATTTATTAAGTATTTACACTTGGTTAACAACACCTCTAAAATGTACACTATAATAAATTCTCTGCAAGTTTCTGCCCAATTATTTTCTGATTTTTTGTTCACTTCTCTTAATTTTTCCTCTTTCTTATACGTGTTCTATGTCTGCTTCTATCTCCAGAGTGCACCCCAGGGTTTTATGGGGCTGGTTGCAAACTGAGGTGCAGCTGTCCTCCTGATGTCCTGTGTGATCCTGAGACAGGAGCCTGCAAACATCCGTGTCCAGCTGGCTTTCATGGAGAAAAATGCCATTTGTGTAGGTACTCACTGCGTGTTTCCCTGGGAGATACACTAGGGAGGGGAAAGCTTATTCAGGAAGCTTAGGTTCAGATATAGAAGTTGCAGATAAATGGGTACATTTGTTGTTGATATGAGTTGGCAGTTCCCCACTGAAACCAGACTGATATTTGGAGCCTGGCGAATGTTGTCTCTCTCTCTCTCTCTTCATCTCCCCCTGCAAAGGTCAAGGCACAAAGCTGAGGCCAGTTACCCAAACTAACATTTGTCCAGGTAACAACAGTTGCTTTTAAAGCTTCAGGCACAAATTTTGCAGGGCTCTGCTGCAGTTATTTTCAGACCACCAGTTGCTCAGACACTAATGCTAACATGGATCACTTCTACCAGCACAGCTCAGGTTCAAATTGGTGGTCGTGGTGCCTCCTGATGCCTTCAAAATGCTTCTAACCATGACTTTGGGGTTTTTTTGTCCAGCTTGTCAGCCTGGAAGCTTTGGAATGGGCTGCAGGCAGAGGTGCAGCTGTGGAGGAGCCCCCTGTGATCCGAAGACAGGGCAGTGTGTTTGCCCAGATGGGAAGACTGGTGCTACGTGTGAGCAAGGTGTGTGAGGTGCTGGACCAAGGTAGGGAGTGCCTGGCTTTGGGAGACCCAACAAGAAGTTAAATTTTGCTGTTTCCCAAACCAGTAAACAGACAAACTCTGATGGAAACTGGGAGAGAGCCTCTCTTTAGCTGTGTTCTTGTGTGCTGCAGTTTAATGGCAGGGCTGGTAGGTCTGTAGATATAATATCACAATCCAGCTCAGTTTTGCTATTATTTTTAAATTCTTCAGGGTGACAGCAGAAATCTGTAGCTGTCCTGAAACAGAAAATGGCACTGATTACACCTCATGTGCTTTTTCTCCAGATTGCCCAGATGGCCAGTGGGGACCAGACTGCCAGAACTCCTGCGAGCCCTGCGCCAACGGGGGCCAGTGCAACAGGGAAACCGGAGCCTGTGACTGTCCCCCTGGCTACACTGGGCCATCCTGCTCTGCCAGTGAGTCCTTGCCTCAGCCTTCCCCATGAAAAGAAAGTCAGATTGAAAATTCAGGTTATGCTTTGATTTCTGCCTTATTATTCTTTTGTGAGATAAAGCACGCTGATCTGAGATTAAGTGCCCTTCATCTCCAGGAATTCCCCAGGTTGGATTTGACATTATTTGTGGGAGGGAGATTGTAGATGAATGCACGTGATCAACTAAGCTGCATCCCAAATGGATGTTATCATTAGACATAATTTATGGCAAGCTGTACTTGGAAATAGAGTGTTTAACAGCCACAACACTGGGGCTGTAATCCTGGCTGTTTGGCAAGAGGTGTGAGCTGGCCCACATGGCATCGTTCTCGAGTTATGTTTGCAGCAGCACTCCTTGGAGAAGATAATGCAGGATAAAATTATACTGAAGATGAGGGAGCAGTATCAGTGCTATCCCTGCAGCCAAGGACCGTGGGAATGCCTTCAAGGAACTGTCCTGTGCTGCCCCTGGGTGTTAGAAGGCTGCTTGAGTGTGCCTGTTGAGCTCTGCTTTGTTCAAGACCTTGGTGGTGGCACGTTTTTAATTCTTACTAGCCACAAAATGGCTTCTGGGGAAGGTTTTCCTCCTCTGGGGAAACAGCCTGATGCACAGGAGTACCCAAAAGCGTCTCAGGCTATTCCCACATTCCAGGACTCAGCCCCAGACACCCGGGATGCAGATCCCAGATATTTCTGTGCTGCCATCTGCATCCCTGGATTCAGCTAAACCTGTTTTAGGGGCGAGCTGTTGCTGTCAGTTTGGGAAGATGAGTCTGAGGCAGGTGAAGTCACAGCCTGTCTGTGTTTGCAGCCTGCCCCGATGGGCACTATGGCCCGAGCTGTGTGTCGCTGTGCAGCTGTGGCAGCAGTGCCCAGTGTCACCCTGTCACCGGAGAGTGCTCCTGTCCCCCGGGCTGGACCGGCCACGACTGCAAACACCGTAAGTCAGGGCACACGGGATCTCCCGGGGACTGCACGTGGAGGAACCAGCTCTGTTTGCTCTTAGCTTATTACAGTTTTTTAATATCGTTTTGCTAATCTTACTGCTTCTGAAATGGTGTTTTTGTGGGTTTGTACAGCCTGGGTGGTTATAATCCTTAATTATCCAGGTTCAAAGCATTGAAATAGATGGCTGATGAAGTGCAAAGTATTGATATAAGCTCTTATTTCAACACTATGGATCCCTTTGCCCAATACCATCTGTCCCGTCAGCATTTTGACTGACAGACAGTTTTGTTTTTCATTTTCAGTGCAGATTAGTTTTGAGATTAATTCTCCATTTCTCATTTTGTTAGGGGGAGATTTATTCAACAAGTGAGTGGCATGTAGAGTCGTGTGTCTAAAGGTCACTTTTTAACTTGGGAATATAAATGCTGTAAAAAATTCTGTTCTCTGGAAGAGCAGAGCATCCTTCTGTTGACTTTAGCATCGCTCTCCATATTGGTGGCTGTGTGAGAGAGTAGATTTGCCCTTTTTGGATGGCACCATACAAATGTGAAACCATCCTGCTTGATTCCTCCCTTTTCCTGTGACACATCTCTTCTGTTTGATTCATTGTGATGCCTCTTGCAAAAAGCCAACAGAAACAAACCTCCTTCTAAACTTGGTCTCAAACACATAAAATCATTTAATTGGCAGTGTTGACAGCAGCAAGTTTTGCACCTGACTTCTCAGGCTCTGCACTGAAGAAAATGCTGAGAAAATCTGAAGTTTCCACCCATATGAATATTTTAAAAATCAAACCAGTTGGTAGTGTGTAGAGCCACAGAGATGGCTTTTCATGACTCCCTGGGCTGTCTAGAGAATTGAGAGACCATGACAAAGGAAAGCTTTTATTTCTATTCAGTGTAAGATCTGAGAAAAATTGTTTTGCAGTGATATCTCGGTAAGGCAGCTCTGCCAGCTATTGCAGACCAGGCATTAAACAGATTCCCAGCTCCAAAACCAGGTTTCTGTTGCCCTAATTGGCACTTTCATCTTCTTCCTTACTCAAAAGAAAGGAGATGTTGTGGTACATTGTTGTAATTGTGTCAGTGCTGTGTGATTTTAGGATGAAAGCAGTAAGTTGCTTTAACAAACATTGTGAGATTCCTTTGTGTCCATGCTGCATTTCCCGGTATTCTGAGGAAAACATGGAGGGTGCTCCCAAATCTGTCTGGTTAAACCCATTAACTATTCTGGCTATGCAGTTTTTTGTTTAGGGAGTCAACAGCTGATATTTTATTTCCATTAAATTACAGATTTGTGATTGATGGGTGTGGATTCACAGAATCACGGGGTTGGAAGACACCTTTAAGATCGAGTCCAACCCATGCCCTAACACCTCAACTAAACCATGGCACCGAGTGCCACATCCAGTCTTTCTTTAAACACATCCAGGGATGGTGACCCCACCACCTCCCCAGGCAGTTGATCCAATAAAACACTTTTTCCTAGCATCTAAATTTCCCCTGGCCCAGCTTATAAATGATTAGTTTTATGACTATGATTGATTAGTTTTATGCGGATGGGATAATATCTGCCTGCGTCCGGCTGAATCAGACCAGCAAAAAACTCTCTTTATTTCCACAACCTGCACCTGTGCTGCAGCTGGGAGTTCAGTCCCGAGGCATTTTGTGCATTCTGCATTCTCTCACACAGCAGTGCAGCAGGGTTTGGGGGTGGTGCTGGATGTGACCCCATTTCCCTTGGCAGCCTGCAGCAGCGGCCACTGGGGCCAGGGCTGCGCCAACTCCTGCGCCTGCGACGGCGGCGACTGCGACCCTGCCACGGGCACCTGCTCCTGCCAGCCGGGATTCACCGGGCAGCACTGCCAGCTCAGTAAGTGCCAGCCTCCCCAGCACGTGCAACTTCCCAAACCCCAGCTCTGGAAGTTGTGTTTTCCTGGTCATTCCCCGCAGGAACGCTCCCAGGCTGTTCCGCCCCCGCTCTGCCGGGCGCTGCGCTCTCACGTTTCACCAGGGTTAGATACTTTCCCTAATTTGATTTCCAGAAAAGGTATTTTCAGCCTTGTTTTGGACCCAGCAGCTATTTTTAATGTTAGGATCTCGTGAGAGGGATAGGATTGATGTATTTTTGGGTTGTGGCATAAGAGTTTCTGTACTGGTTTTATTTATTTGGTTTTAGGGCAGCACTTACCCTTCTTAAATCTCTATTTCAGGTCAGACATATAGAAATACTTCAGATGTACATAACAGAAGAAAAAACAGGAAGTTTTGGAGTCCTGTATTTATTAACAACAAAAATGTGTAATGGTCTTATCAGAGGCCCACAACCCTCACCTTAACATTCACCTCCTGATGTCAATAGTAGATGCTTCAAGCATATGAAAACAGGCTCATAGTCAATTCCTCATATGTCTCCCTAGGTGTCATCAATTTCTCATCCAGGAGCTTCTTGAGACAGAAGCAATATCTCTATATTTAATGCAACTTGATTTTTTATTTTTTTTTCCAATTAACGTGCCTATTTTCTTTTTCATTTCATGCAAGCATTTGGAACCCACTTCATCTTGTGGCAGTAAGTTGCATAGTTAAGCTGCTATTACTATTATTATTGATTATATTGATGTTGTTAAATAAAATAAACATTTTATCAAGTAGTTTAACAATCTTACAGTAGCACAGATGTAGCTACCACAGTCTCAGTAGCGTGGGCAGGATTAACTGCTGGTGTCACACAGAAATGTCAAAACAATTAATCTGGAACCGTGACCTAAGACAAGAAAGCCTGGAAAGTTGATCTTGCAGCCCTTGTTGCTGTTGGCACAGAGGGAATGGAAGGACGGTGTGTGGGGAGGACCAGCTCCCAGAGAAGGAGCTGCCAGCTCTGCTGCTCTTTCGCTCTTGATCTCTCCCAAAATAGCATCTTTGCAGAGAGAGAGTGGCCACATAGCCGCTTGTAATCCTCGCTGGGAAGGGAATCAGTGAAGCCCTCACCATTGACAAAACATCTGGCAGTTCCTAAAGTTCTTTCTGTGAGCTTTCTCTTCTATTTAGTCTGCTTTTTACCTTCTTTTGTGTGTGTATGTGTATATATATGTTTAAAATTGCACATATACGTGTGTGTGTGTGTGTGTGTGTGTGTACACGCAAGATTATGAAAATCATAGTTCTTCCCATGATTTTATGCTGCCTTGGAGGTGACTTCTGGATATCTTGAAATATCTTGAAATATCCTTTGATATTTCCTCTGCTCCCCATGCATCCCTACCCTCTCCCTGCAGGTTGGGCTCCTTCCCCTGGCAGGAGCTCAGGATCTCTGTCGGGGTGGCTGGATCCTGACATGCATCACAGCTGCAGCACCATTTCCCTTGCACAATTCTCAGACTGAAATTTCAGCTGAAAAGAAAGCATGGAGAAGGATCAAGCTTTTAAGGCACAGAACACCTCTATGTATTTATTTGCTAAATAGGGATGTGCAGCTTTGGGAAGAAGAAGGGATTTCACCTGTGAGTGCAAAAAAATAAATTCCAACATACATTTAAATAATGTCCCATTTTTTTACTCCTTGAAAGCAAAGAAGTACTTTGAAGAGAAAGAGGTACCTTGCTCTTCTCCCATCTCCCATCCCAACTCCTCTGTAAAACAAACAGTTGGCAGAGTCCCTGAGCTGCAGGAGCACCTGAATTCATGCCAGCTCCAATCACTGCCCACCCATGGCACCAAACAAACAACACCAAACCCACCCCCCTATTCCAGACATGGAGCTGTCTTTGAAGACTCTCGTTTTCTGTTCTCTCTGATTTCTTCCAGATTGCCTGAAAATCACTTTGTTGCTGTAAATGCTAAAATCATGGGCTTCTAGAAGAGATTTGGCAATAATCTCCATAACTCATTTAGAGGGATGTTCACAAGACCTTCAAACATGAGTAGAGGCCCTGTAATACTGTATTTAGCCAAGTCTATCTCTATGTTTCAGCCTGTCCAAAATATTCAATGTGAATTAGGCAACTGGCCCTGTTCTTAATTGATTTTCCTATAATCCTGGAAGAAATTATTTTCATTCTCATATGTTTTCTTTCTTCTGATGGCAAGTACCATGCAAATCTTTTAAAACTCCTCACATTAACTGCTGTGGAAATGTAATTGTTAATCTGTCCCCCAGATGTAATGTTTTCACTTGGATTTTTCAAAGCAGAGCATGAAAGTAAAGTGTACAGCATTCAATTTAGAGCTTTGTGAAGGCAACCAACACATTTCATATTTTTTCCAGCTTTCTGGGGAAAGAGGATTTGCAGGAAAATGGAGGAGTTTCTCCCCTTCCAGATGATGAAGTCCCAGAGGAGATGTGCACAAAAGCAACTCCAGACCAGTGGGCAAAGCGTCATTGTGCAGAACCTGTGAAGTCTCAGGCTTTGTTAGTTTTCTGTGCAGAATTTAGTGTTTCAACACTCTGGAATTTTTCTAAAATAGATCTGAAATGTAGCCCAACTTACCTGAACCTCAAGGGAACACTCAAATCTCAGTTTTAAGCTGTTACCTTTACGCCTTGATTATTTTGGAAATAGATTTCCCATCTATGTAAAAACTCCCCATTGATCCCTGGTGTGCTCTGGCATTAACCCATCACTGGTTGTGATTCCTGTGCTGCAGGGTGCCCCGAGGGGAGCTTTGGCCCTGGATGTGAGTCCAGCTGTCAGTGCCAGAACGGAGCCGCCTGCGACCACGTCAGTGGAGCCTGCACCTGCACGGCGGGCTGGACTGGAACCTTCTGTGAAAGAGGTACTGCTGCTCCCCCTGGTCCCTTCAGGATTCATGGAGAATTTGTTTTGGTTTTTATTCAGAGAGCAGGTTTTTCAACTGACAGCATTGGATCTAAATGAAACATTGAACTTTATTGGAAGCTGATACTGAAATGTGAACTCCCCTCCTAACTCGGCAGAGCATCGTGCTGGGTGCCAAATGTCGGGCACATGTTTTCACATGGTTAAAATTAAATATATGCTCAAGGCTTCTGCTGTATCACATCTTTATGGACACACTTTTCAAGCAGAGTGCCACAGTTTGAGCACTGAGCAGGGAGATGCTTGTTCAGCCTTATGCTTGCTTGTTTCTAGTGCCTCCCTGAAGCGATTTCGAGAAAAACATGGATGTGTGCATTATCCCTGTGGAACTCTTTAAGAACAGATTCACTTCTAACTTAAATATGTCCAATACTATTCTACCTAATCTTCTATTACCTAGTCATTTTGTAAGGTGCTGCAAATGTTGCACTGGATTCTTTAGCTACATTATGGTGAGTCAGTCTGTGGCATTATCACAGGAGGCTGCTGTCGTGCTGCATCATTTTGCAGATTTTTTGTATCAAATATACAAGAGAAACAACACAGGGCCATTCAGGCACTGTGAAAGTTCTGTGTGGGTGATTGAAGATTCTGCAGATTATGGTACTTGAACCAAAGTCACAACTATTTTTCATGGAAAGCAGCTTTATCAGCCAGGTTCAGCGGCGAGGATGGAGGGAAGTGGCAGCACTTGCAGGCAGCTGCTGCCCTCTCATGGGAAGGAAGATGCTCCACAGCCTGACCAGGAATGTGGCTAGGCATCCACCGGCTGGAGTTGCTAGTGCTTGTTGTTGTTTCCCTCTCATTCTTGCCAGGGACTATTATACAAAATAAATACTCTTTCCAAGGCTCTGCTGCAAATTTCACCTTGGAATTCATGGTATCTCCGCTATGTCCCTTTTTAATATAATTTAGCTGAAATCTGTTTTCCTAAATCTACTATTTTTTAAAAAAATTATTGTATTTTTATTGGGGAAAAAAAGAAAAGGAAGTCATCTGTGTTGCTGTGTAAATCCCTTCTTTCAGCAGAAAAGAGGCCAAACATCCTTTGTCAGAATAGGTGTGATGAACATGGAGAAGACTGGGTGATTCTATTGGTGGAAAAAAAAGAACAAATCTTAGCTTCCAAATCAGTCATGTTGGACATTTTTATCTTTTATTTAAGTCCTGAAGGAAGATTGTGGAGGGGAGAGTGAAATTCCGCGCTTTGTAAAACACCGTTTCCGCATGTTTTCTCTCAAGAAGGCAGAGTGTTTGCTCTCAGCTGACCTGGGTTACCTCTTAACTTAGGAAGTTTTAACCAGAACAGTTTGGCAGCTTCCAAAAGACGCCGAGGGAGGAAAACATGTGGGTGGTTTGCCCTTGGTAGAACCTTCTTGGCACCTTCTCTCGGAGGAGCTGTAGCGCTTCTGTTTCGAGTGACTGGGAGACTGGCAGGGTTTCCTTCTGGCAGGGATGTGCTTTTTGCCGTCCTCTTGGCAATCCACCCACGTTGGCCAGGCTCTGTGCCTTGCAGGCAGAAATTCACATCGAGCCCTGGCGCTGCAGAGTTGCCTTGGACTTCAAACATCCTGCTGATGCCTCAGCCCGGGGCTGGGAAGGACTTCTCAGTCATCACAGAGATGTTGAAACTGAGACTTTTGCACTTCTGAGTTCAAAGTCCTGGGAGAAGACAGCCCCTTACAAAATCTGATTTTGATTGATATTAATAATTAATATCACCCCTGCACAGCAAGGGTGTTTGAACCTGCAGTTGTTGCTTTTGGTATTTTGCATTGTTGCAGCATGGGATCTGGATTCAAGCTGAGACTGCAGAAATACAAAAATTTGCCATCGGATTTTTGGTTTTCATTTGGGGAAAATTTCATTTTGGTGGGAAGGTGCTTTTATTTTCATTAATTTGCTGCCCTCAATATGAATTAAGGCTTCATAGGTTTAGGTACCAGCCCTTGTTGCAAGACACCACTTCAGTGACCATTTCCAAGCTTATTTGCCACAAATTTAGTAATCTCTTATTAATATTTATTAGAATTGTTAATGTAAACTTAATCCTTGCTGAGTCTCAATCTATATATGTCTGTCAGTAATACAGATAACAACCAAAGCCACACCATCATCATCATCATCATCACCCCCCAGCACAGGACAATTTCCAAGCTCACCCATAGCAGGAGACACTTTTGCTCCAGGGCTGCTGTTTCATGAGACCTAGCTGTAAATTATTCAGGAGCTGACTGAACTTCTGTGCTCTGAGCCACAGGATGCTGACAAAAGACCTCACACTCTTCAAAGTACTTTTGTCTGTCCATCAGCATCTCAGTTCTGCTCTGCCCTGAGTCACCTTTGATCAGCTGCTCTTCATCTGGTACCACTCAGTGGTACTGCTGCCTCTGCAGTTGTGCTGTGGTCACATATAATAATGATGGGGAAGAACAAAGCTATCAAGACACTCTCTGAAAGAAAATTAGACGTTTCTGAAGGTGGTACATGCCTGCTCCATCTTTCAGCCCTGCTCAGTGCTTTGTGAAAATGAACCTTGTGAATCTTGTGACTCTTTCAAAGGAGTTTCAAAAGCAGCAAAACTGTTTCAGTTGCAGAGTAGGTAACGATGGCAAATGAGGCTGAAAACAAAATAATCTACAAAGAAATGATTTCAGTCTGTGAGAGCAATCTAGGAAAGGCTTCCTTTGAATTTTCTTGAAAGCAGCAAGTGATACAAGCAGAACAGTGATGAAATAATGTAGGTCTCTTCACAAGGCCTCGCATCACCAAAGGAATTTTTGGTGGATGCTGCTAGCAGTGCCACCAGCTTCCATATCTGAGCAGAGAACGTTATGTGCTTGGGCAGAAGGTGCCAGAGGGACCCAGGGAGTTGTGGCTGGTCCTGAACTGAAGCAGCAGCCAGTGTCTCTGCACTCCTGGGTTCTGCAAGGGCAGGGATCACAGCAAAGGTGGCTTTGTAAGTCCTTTCTGTCCTGTTCTGCAGCATTTGGGGTATGATGTGGCCCACTGACAAGCACTGATCCTTATTTTCACTGCTGTCAGCACTGGTACAGATAAAAATTGAATCCATGGGGCTGCTCTTCCTTAGTCCAGGTTCAGTTCCAGATGTAGGAGCAGAGCTCCTCCAGCTCCCTGGGGTTGTTTTGCTATGTTTAATTTGTCTTGGGTTTCCTTCCTCATTCACTTTGCCAGTTTTTCATTTCAGCACTGAACTGCACCACTGTGGCTCAGGTTCACTGTAAAAGAATCGTTAGGAGAGTGTCAGGACAGTAAATGGGAGCAGAAGTTTTGCATTGCCAAAGGGAGGGAGGTCAGCAGGGATGGCTCTGGAGTCCTGTATTATGTTGAATTATTTCCTCTGTCCATTACAGAGGCACGAGGAACAGCTTGTGTGAATCCAGCTCCATTCTCTCACTTGTTTTATGGCTTTTCAATATTCTCAGCCCTGTTTTCCTGTGCAGAAATCTGTTGCTTGTGTAAAAGGGTAACATTTTTCCAAGATGCACATGGCAGAACTGGGCAGGCTTAACCCTTGATGCATCTGTGCAAAGACGAGATGGAGTTTATGCAGCAAAAAAAGAAGCAGGAGCTGTGCTAACAAGGAATGTTTTGTATTTCCAGCTTGTCCAGACGGATTCTTTGGGATTGACTGCCACCAGGTGTGCAAGTGCAAGAATGCTGCTGGCTGTGACCACGTGCTGGGATGGTGCCACTGCCTCCCGGGCTGGCTGGGGGAGAGCTGCGAGCAGCGTACGTACACCCCTGCTCCCAAACCCCTCTGGGAATGGGGATACTGCCCTGCCAGGGTTCACTGCCAGATAAGTCACCTTCCTTCCCAAAGATGCCAAAAAAGGAAATTATTTTTGGTGGCTGTGTAAAATCATCAGCTCTCTTTATTTTTTTTTTTACTCGACAAACATGATAAGCATCAGGTTTTAAATAGCAGAGCTGTCTCCTGCCATATGACAGCTCCCTGCTTTTTATTTTTGTGTGACATTAAGTGATTAAATGTTGTGTATCTGTTTCTGGTGTATCTCATCTAATTATCAATTATAAAGTGTCAGATTACAACTGCGCAAAGTAGAAAAATCAGAGCTGGGAGCATTTTGTTATTTGAGCGTGGCAAAATAGTTTTAAAATAATTATTATAAAATCTATTTGTTTTAAAATAAATATCAGTTTCCTAGATGTTCAGAAGTATGGATTATCCCACAGTTTTTAAGCTAAACAAGTGCTTGTGAGCATACATGTATAAAATTGGCTATTCTGAGAAATTTTTCACTGCATTTCATGGGAAATTAGGTTATTTTCTTTAGCTGCATGGCTTTACATACAGAGATCACTGAGTCTATTTGCAAGGTTTAGCAAATAAGAGGGGTTTTTTAAGATTTTCAGGTTTTAGCTTCTCAACTTCCTTGTTTTCTTTTAGGATGATGTCATGGTCTAAACTTGCTTTCGAAAATATGAGTGCTGTCTGCAGGACTGGGGTGTAGAGCTGGGCTCCAGGGCAGCTCCACAACGAGCCAGTTCTGCTAGGGAACACTTCTTTAATTCATGGGTCATGTCCTTCTGCAGTAGAAAAGTGGTTTAATTTAGAAAATCGAGAGAAATGTGGCTTGTATTGAGGCAATGCTGTTCTCCAGCCATACACTCTTTTATCATCAGCCCTGTTTGAGGGCAGTGCTTGCTCTTCATATTTTCCCCTCATTTTCCCCCATCACTCAACACAGCTTATCTCCTGAGAAGGCTTCTCCTGCAAAATCCCCTGCTCTTTTGTTTACAGGTGGGTCAGTTCTGCTGAATCTTCCCAATTTTAGACACTTTTTCCAACATCCCACCACTGCAGGTTTTTGCCTCCTCATGACACTTGGCTGTCCACCTCCCACCACCTGAAGATGCTGGGGGTAACCCAGGCTTTGAGTGTAGAAGAATGGAGTGAGCACAGAACAAAAGCAGATCAGAGTCACTTACCCATCCCACAGATCAGCAGAGGTGCTGCTGAGCAGGTACAATATTTGCTTGGTCACAGCCCATTCTTCCTGTCGAGCCACAGCATTGGCAGTGTGTCACTTTTCCCCCTCCCCAATCCCTAGCATCAGGGATGGGAAACTTTGCTACATATTTCATTAAATTCAATTAAGAAATGCAGTTCCTTCTCCATGGCCTCTGGTGCCCTGCCCTACTCACAGTAGGGGAAAAACCCTATTTATTATCTTGTGCTAGAGCCATTAGACTTTGTGCTGGGTCGATTTATTCCTCCTGCTGGTGAAGGTGCCAAAGCCTCTGAGGCCTCTTGAGAGAGAGGTCAGTTAACAGTGCAGGGTGTCTCCTCCTTTTCTCTTGGCTAAGTGAGGGATCTTCATTTTGATTTTACAACTGGGCCTCATCCACGCTGCTCCAGAGCAAGGCAGCTAGGGGTGGGAGACAGCTCAGCACTCCCCATCCTCCCAGGGTGTTTAATATTCACCTTGCCTGTTCCTGGGACCCGCCAGCTCCAGCAGCTGGAAGGACAGCACTCGTGTGGAAGTAATCAGATTGCAGGCAATGTGCTAGAGGATATTGAGGAATAATTTTGGCATCATGGGATTTGAATTGATCCTAAGCCAGCCATGCAGTGAGTTTTATACTCTGCTATCTAATTACAGGCAATCCGGACAGTGATGCCTTTTGTTGAAGCTGCCTAATGCTTTCCATTACCAGACTGTGGGTTTCAGTTGTTTGAAAATGAATTATGTTAATCTGGGCTGAAATCTGCCAAGCAAGCTCTGCCTCAGCTTCAGTTTGTGCTCGGAGACTTTATTTGGGGATTTTTTTTAAGTGTCCACCTGAGGTATTTTAGGTTTCCAAGAAAGAGGCTTAGGAAAAGTATGTTGCCTATTCTCTTTATTTCTTTTTTTTTTTTCTTTTTTTCGTTGTTTTGTTTTAATGAACTGTTTCACTGAGTGCTGTGATACAGAAGTGAGGACCTGATATTTGGCATTTCTTTGTGATAGAGATGTAACCTGCCTTTCTGGATATTCCATTCCTGGAAGTGTTCAAGGCCAGGTTGGAGGGAAGGAGCAACCTCATCTAGTAGTGGCATTCCTGTTCATGACAGGGGGGTTGGACATTGATGATCTTTAGGGCCCCTTCCAAACCAAACCATTCTGATTCACTGCAAATTCATCCAAAGTTTGCAAACTTAAAAAAAACCCAACCAAACCCTCCAAAAATCTCATGTTGCATATGGTCTGTAGCAGATGTACACAATTCAATGTCTGAATTTTTCCTTAATTCTATCAGTACTAAGCATGCCTCTTTCTGGAGCTGTTGGAGCTCAGCAGAATCTTCACTGAAGTGGCTCCTTGTGGTAAAAAAGAGACCACACTGGTTTGAAAAATAAATTACTTCAGAAAAATTTGCTCAGCCAGAGGCACTGATAACAGGGGTTTGACATTTCATGGTGTGTGAGCACTTGAATTTGCAAATTCCCTGTTATTTTAAAGCTAAAGCTTCATTTTGTGGAGAATAATCCACAGAAGTCACTTGAAAACAAAGCTACTGGACACCCTGTAGAATATTAGAGCCCATCAGTTTCCTGTGCTCCTGGGCACTTTTGATGGCTGTTGACTTCTAGTCTGGCAGAAAAGTCTCCAGTTTCATGTGTTCCTTATTCTGTGTGCAAAAAGGGATTTTAAAGACTGCAAACAGATAAATCGTCCTCTTGCAGAGGAAAGACACCAAGAGGAAAGTTTTTAACCAGGAAGAAATCTATTAATTTAAATCTTTGGATTAAGTTATCCCTTTTGTCTCATTGTGAAGAAGGAAAAGGCCCAGGTATATTTGTACATTCACTTGTGGAACACCATGAAATAGCTTCAGTATATCACTTTTTTTCCTTAATCTTCAGAAAAGTACTTTGAAAATCAGGATTGTCCCACCAGGAAGCAAAAAACATTTGTGTCTATCCAGTGGAATAGTTAAAATTTTCTTCTCCAGAAATTTCTGCTTTCTTACCAGAATTTTCACAGAAACACTCTATTGTCTTTTTGGTAAGTGTAACAAGAGCTTTGCACACATACTCCAAAAACCTCACACAAACCACTGCTAACCAGTCAGGGGATCTGGTGATGAGCTGGTTTTTCCTTTGGCTTGATTGTGCTATAGTGCTGGTCTCTATTGTGGAAATATTTAGTTCTGCTCTCAAAAACGGAGCCAGAACTCTGTAGATGTGCTGAACTTTTCACTTGGCAACCAAGCTTCATTTGCAGAACAAACTTTTAGCTGTGATGGGACTGAGCTCCTGCTCTTTCTTGTGGTTTCAATGTGGACGAGGTCCAAGCGATGACAAGAACGAGCAGTGTGGAAAAGAAGTCCTGGGAGAAAATGGTGTCTGAGAACCAGGCTGAGAAGTTGGAAGCTCTCAGATGGGGAGAAAAGGGCTGAGAATGGGTCAGGGGCTGTCAACCTCCAAGATCAAGGTGGTTTCACACCTCCCTTCTGTCCCCAGGGTCTTGCTCTCCCACAGCACTGCATCATGTTCACATCATGATGTTCACAACACCCTGAAAGGCAGAGAAGTTCAGTGAAAATGCACTGTTTAGCTGTGAAACATGGAAAATATCCCATTCAGCAAGGGCAGGACACTCTCCTGGGTCTGGGATCCAGGCTTTATTTGCCTCTCCAGTGCATTCCAGAAGTGCTACAGGGATGAGGGGCTCTGACAGGACCCCCTGCAATGCAGAACAAAAACAGTGCAAGGAGGAGATCCAGTTCCATCACCCCTCTTTGTATTATTTTGGATGCTATCTGAAGAAAACAAGGTAGCAGAACTGTTTGTTTTCCACCATTCAAAGCTATCCAAATCTCCAGTGCAATGGAGACTGCAGGAATTTTATCACTGCCATTTTTCATGGGCAGCAGCACTGAAAGCAGAGCGTTTGCTTGCGAGATGACTGCGTTAAGTTTTCACCTGGGAGCCAGCTGCTTAACCAAACTCACTGAAAATATCACCCCTCTCTGACCAAAGAATGAGAGTCTGGCTGAGCAGAGGCACCCAGCTGTGAAAAATGAACACTGAAAACAATGAAGTTGTCAGTTCTCTTACCAGGATGCAAATAAATACCAGGGCTGTCAGGCTGGCAGTTCTGCTGGACCATTAGTTTAGCACAAAGACGTTCTGCAGAGCAGGGGATGACAGCTGATCCATCACCTCCAGTGGTCCAGCCCCTCCATAGAAACCTCTTCAGAATGGGCTGTGAAACACATTTTTAACCCACATTATTATGTTAAACTTTCATAAGACACATTATCTCTAAACTGGGAGTGTTGCAGACATGATCGTAGTTTGCAGAATTATTTTTTTCTAAATACCTTTTGCAGTTTATGTATTGGCTGCTCTTGTGGACTTAGCAGTGCTAACAGTTGAACTTGATGATCTTAAAGGTCTTTTGAAACCTAAATGATTCTCCTATTGTCTCTAGAGTCAGACATAGTTAATATATGGGGTTTTATGTTCATTTATTTATTTATTTCCAGGGATGGTGAAGTCACCATACCTTGAAGTGCTCAAAAAACGAGTGGACACAGCACGTTGTGATTTGATTTAAGGATCATGATGGTATTTGACCAAAGGTTGGACTGATGATCTTGAAGATCTTTTCCAATTTAACGATTCTGTGATTTTATATGAGCTTAGGCGCTCTTATGATGTGAAAAGTGTCATTGGAGCACAGCTCCAACCTGATTTCCTTGGCTTTGCGTTGCATCTCGTGCTTGCTCTGGGCTTCCTTGGACGCTTCCTGATGGGGTTTTATGGAATTCTGTCGTTGCAGCCTGCCAGGGGAACAGCTATGGGCCAGGCTGCAGGAACTCTTGTCACTGTCACAACGGAGCTCTCTGTCACCACGTAACCGGGACGTGCCTTTGTAGCCCGGGCTGGAAAGGAGCCACCTGCCAAGAAGGTACAGCTGGAAATTCAAACCTCTGCCTATGGATTATAGGAGGGAAAAATAAAACCTGTGTTTGGGGAAAGCTCACTGGTATTTTAGCTCTCAGCTCATTGCCCTGTGTTGTCACTGGGTTTGGATCCGCACTGACGTGAATTGGTCCATTAAATTAATCCATGACACTGTGTAGGATCCCAGGGCAGAAGGGTGAAACAGTCATAAAGTGGAAAAAGACCTGATTTTGAAGGCTGATGAAGGGAGAAAAGGTCCATAAACCTCCCAATTATGATGCTGAAATAAAGCTGCTTCTTTTCCATGGCCTGCTTTACTGTCCCATGCACCAGACTGATCCTCGGCATTACCTTGTGCTGTTCCAGACAGAGCCTAAATCCAGAACATGTGAAAGGCATTGAGCCTTCCAGCCTTGGCAATCAGACCCGTACTTGAGGCTCAAATACAAGTGCAGCTCCACAGAGCCTTAGGAGGAGGCTGGCAAAGAAAGGCTACACTGTGGCATTGCACATCCTAATCCATGCATCCCAGGCAGTAGGAAAAGTCTGTCCATGCCCCGTGCAGAAGCTCCTTGTTCTGTGCCTTCCCCACGAGGTCCCTGGGGTGGCAGCAGTACCATGGAGCTGGGAATGCTGCTGTGGATGCTCCTGGGTGAGCGGGGATTTAGAGTCAGCACTCAGACTCTCCCCTTCAACATCCCAAGATTGTTAGGGAAAGGGGATGAAAGCTGGCAGGGGTAGAGTGATATTTAAATGTAGCACATTCCCCTTTTAAAACTTTATATGAAGAGGCCTTTCCATGAAGGATTTAAAAATTGGGAAGGTACTGAACTGTTCTTGATGACATGTACAGCATGACCTAAATTTTAGTTTTCTCCAAAGGCCGCAAATACAAAACTAATGCAAAAGTTACAAAAGATGTTTCAAACACCCCTTTTTAAATACATGTTTGGGGATTTCTTTTCTATTTGAAGTGAGGAGGTAGAATAATTGTGTGAGGCTTGGGCAGCCATCCTCTGGTGCCTGTACTTTTCCAAGGTGAGAGCTTGCCCCTGTTTTCATCTTAAAGAGGTGTCACTCTGGCATGTGGCAGAGGTGTGTGGTTTTTTGCCAAAAAATTAGGTTCTATCCATAGAAACTGGTTGTGATAGGCATCAATAGACTTGCCTAATTAAAATTTGGTAAATGGTGAAATATCATCAGCTAGCTGTGGGCAGCAGGGTCAGTTAGAGAAGGAGCTGTGATTTTAAGAGGACTGTACAAAGAAATTCTGAGAACAGGGAAATCAAGAACTGCACTCCCCAGTGTTGAGAAAGCTGGAAAGAACCAAAGAAATGGGTTTTGTGGGTACAAACAGAAAGTCTCAAGGTTATTTGGTGGGTCACTAATTTGCTTAATCACCTACTTTGTTCCAAGACCAGTTTTATAGTGGTTGGAGTAATTCCTTATTGGTCGTGTCTCCGTTTTTGCTTGGTTGTACCTCTCAGAGCATCTTCCAGGGCCGGAAAGGCTGCAGGGTGGGAGAGGTGGTGCTGAACCTCTCCTGATGCACTTCCTGATGGAAGTTTTTCCCTGCCTTCCTTCACAGCCTGTCCCCCCGGGTGGTACGGAGCGAACTGCCTGCAGCGCTGCCTCTGCCACGGCCAGGCCACCTGTGACCCTGTGAGTGGCGAGTGCCAGTGTCCCCAGGGCTGGACGGGGACAGCCTGCGAGCTGGGTGAGTCTCACCACCTCCTCCAGCACCTCGCTTCAGTCACTCTGAAAGGAAGCTCACTTGAGCTGGGGTCTGCTTTGAGACAAGCCAGAGGAAGAAGCAGACAGAAGAATGGAAAAGTTAAAAAGTTAAAAGAACTGGGGTTGATTAGTCAGAAATGAGAAGGCTGAGGAGAGATGTGATATTGGTACTTGAACATATCCATGGTGCTGGAAACTTGCTGGGCAGAGGAGATGGATAAGCTGTTCTTTGTCCTTTGGGAACGGGGACGATAGGTAATGAGCTCCACTTAAGGAGAAAGAAACCCCTAAAGATGAAAATGGTGTATTTCTAGATAATTTTGCCAAGGGAGGCTTCAAAATTTCCTTCACTGAAGGTTTTTAGGCACAGTTTTGGTGGCTCATGATGTTGCAGAGGCGTGAGGGAGTTCCTGCTGGGGTTGCTGCAGCCTTGGACCCCATCAGACTCCCCCATCCCGTTTCAGAGTGTGAGGACGGGCAGTTTGGAGAGGGCTGTGAGCAGAACTGCAGCTGCCACCATGGGGTGTGCGACCAGTCCTCAGGGAAGTGCCTCTGCCACGCTGGCTGGACCGGGGACCGCTGTGATGTTGGTAAGCAGCTCCTTCTGCAAATCCTTCGTTTTAACCATCAGCCATTTCTGCCAGTTTTCTATTTCCTGTCTTAAATTTCCAGGATTCTGCAGGCCAGTAAGGAATTATGCCCTCTCACCCCATCTCAGACCCACAGGCAGGTCTCTGCCCAGCCATGCCCTTGTCCAAATCATTTTATCTCCTCCTACCTCTGTTCCCTGCCTTAGAAAATGAAGGTATTTCTCTACCTTACACACTCAGGGAACAACACATGAAAGGGAGGGAGTTTTAAGGAGAATTTGCCAGATCAGCCACCTCTGTGGGTCATTGAGGGGAGCTCAGCAAACTGGACTGTGATGGTTCAGATAGCTCAGATGTGGCACATCACCCAGATTTGACACAGCTGTTTGGCATGCTTAGAGCCATCTGAATCCCTGAAAGAGGGATGAAATCTCATTCATAGGTGACTTAAAACATGCTTTCAGCTCACCCACTGAGGTGCTGTGCTTTTAGCACAGCTTTCTGAGGTCTCCTGAGGTGCTGAGGACTCAGAAAGCTTCGGCCACCAGTGTGACCCATAAAGTCTCCTCAGTGCCCACCTCCCTTTCTCTTTGGTCACTTTACAGGGACCTGGAAGGTGGAAGCAGTTCCTGGGCACAGTTCAGAGTGCTCAAACAGCTGTCCCTGTGTGCACAGTTCTGTCAAAGCAAACAGCATCACCCTCTCTGTGGAGCCTGGATTTGCACTCCAGGCCGTGACTCGGTCTCTGCAAACTTTGCTGTGCAGACTCGTTAGCAGCCAGCATTAAGCACTTCTAATATTTTTAATATCTTCCCCTTCACTGATATTTTCTGGCCACGCAGTCTGCTAAATATACTCCAGAGCAGGAGCTGGGGCAAGGAGGATCCTGGCTGATGGCCAGCGGAGCTGCTGGTAGAACGCTCTCTCTGCTTGCCCCCAGCCTGTCCCCCGGGATTTTTCGGGAAGCGCTGCTCGGAGCGGTGTGACTGTGCCCACGGCTGGTCCTGCCACCCCCAGAGCGGAGCGTGTCACTGCCACAGGGGGTGGCGAGGGAAGCACTGCGACAAACGTGAGTGAGGGCAGCGCCTCGCCCTGGGGCCCGCAGCTCCGGGCCGCCGCCGGCTTGTCTGCACCCCCTCCTTCGGCGGGGCCGAGCGGGAGGTGCTCGCAGGGATGGGTGCGTGGAGGGGGTGGCTTTGTCCCGTCCTGCTGGCCCTCACAGGCTTGGTGTCCCCTGCAGCCTGCCTGCCGGGCCGCTACGGCGCGGGGTGCGGGCGGCGGTGCCGCTGTCCCGCGGGAAGGCCCTGCCACCACCTGACGGGGGCCTGCGGCTGTCCCCCGGGCTTCACCGGCCACGGCTGCCACAAGGGTGAGTTCCTTATCACACCGCAAATACCTCCCTCGGCGGCTAAGGCATAAATGGATTTCTTGAATCAGAACATGGGGATGTGAAGCCTGAAGAGGGAGGGGACAACACGCTGACAGGAGGGGAGATGGCCAAGGGCTGCTTGTCCCTGGGCCGAGGGGTTTGGCCAGCTCTGAGCTCTGTGCCAGCGCAGTTGGGGCTGCTGGGGTTTGCCCTCTCTGTGCTTGAAGCTGTTGCACTGGCAGGGAGCAGCCAGGGGCTGAACTGCCCCCAAATGGGCTGAGGATGGAGCCCAGCCCTGCCCACTGTGCAGGCAGTAAAGCAGCAGCTCAGCTTTTCTTGGCCTTGTCCCTGTGCGAGGCTGTCTATTCCTGCTCTCAGAGCTCAGAGCTCGTGGAAGGGACATTTTCTGGCTTTTCTTAGCATGGAATTTGGTCCCCCAGAGCTGTCTTTGGAAGCAGGCTCCTGCTCTGACCCCAGCTGTAACACCCTGGTTTTGTTCCCCCCCACAAAGCTTTTCCTGAGCCCTGTTTTAGCCAAAGGAGAACCAGCAATAAATAAGAATTGAAAAGATTCAATTCAATTCAAAGGTGTCCTGTATCCTCCACCAGAGGACTCTAAATGCTGACCCACAACCAGGGCAGCTTAATGGAAATGAGATGTAAGAATTAAATGTGGAAAGTCCAAAACCTGTAGGCAATGTGGCTGTCAGCAGGCAGAATGAAACCAGTGGAGATGTTGATGTCACAGCAGCTTTGCAAGTTTAAACTTCTGCAAAAGGTAGAATGTCTTTATCCACATGCCTGGTCCCTTGGGAATTATACTGTTATTTTAGTCAATTTTACCTGACATTTCCCTATGATTTTTTTTTCTAGTGACAAGAAAATTGTATCTGGCCCTTGACAGTTGGGCACAAATTGACTGAACAAAACAAAATCAAGCAGTCAAGTAACCCCCAAGTAAATGTAATAAATCCAAAGTCCCGGAGGAGAGCGTCATTCCGTAGGCAGGGATTTTATTTAATAAATTTCAGCCCGCTCTTTGTTTGAGTGCTATATTTACCAAGACAAATTTAATTTATTGGTTTGCATTTCTTCTTCCCAAAGCTTGTCCACCGGGCACGTATGGGCAGGACTGTCACGGAGTGTGCCAGTGCTCTGCAGAGAATCAGGAATGTCACCCTGTCACTGGCCACTGCTCCTGCAGCCCGGGCTACCACGGGGCCCGCTGCCACCTCCGTGAGTATTTTTGGGGGTTGCTGCCTTTCTGACAGAGAGCTGAGTCTTGCAGGAGCATCTGCTGGTGCTTTGGGTTCATCTGTGTAAGTACAGTGACTGAAAGAAGTAGAGGTTAATTATAATATAAAAGTTACAGTATTACAAATAAGTTGCAGTACAGGAAGTAAGCATAGGGTGGGTTAATTGACACTAAAAAAAGTAGTTGTATTACTGCAAGGAATTAATTTTAAAAAACATTTTCTAAAAAAAATTAATAATGTTGGTTCAAAAATGTAATTAATTCAATCCTTCAAATTAATTTTTAAGACCACAAGATTTACCAGCTAAATTCTTTCCAATCTCATGCCACGCCAAAGAATGTAAAGATCATTCTCTGCATTGCATCTCTCAGCTACACCTGGATATTGCACAGCTCTCTCATTTCCAAATACCAAGTCCAAAATACTTCCCGAAATCTCTGCGTGCTCAAGTAAGGACAAATGGTTATGAGAAAACAACAAGCTGAAATTGGCAATAAATCCAAGTGATTCATAAAGTCCTTTCAGTTGCAGAGCCTTCTGAGGAGCAATCAAATTAAACCAACTGTTACTCTGGATTGAAAAATGGTGACTAGTGTAGAGGACAAAATGCCAACTGGCCCAATGCTCCATCATAAAAAATATTCCCAGATCCACATGGCTCATGCCGGTATTTTAGGACATCTGTAAAGTTGTTTCTGGTGGAATGTGGCAACTGATAAGAAACATATACTAAAGCAGCCAATAAAGGAGACAGTTAATTACCTTTTTATTTACAACTTTAATTTTGGTTTTACTCCACGGCTTGTAATAGTCTCATTTAGAGGAGAAAAAAAAGAAAAAAAAAACCAAGCTGTTGTCTTTCTTGCTCAGTTTTTCTCTCTTTGGTGAGTGTTGATTTCTCTTTCTTGGGAATCCAGCACAGTTCTGTTTGGCTTAATTGATTTTTGGGCTGACAATTTGGATACAAAAGCCAGCTGTCACATGTGCAGCTCTAGTAAGGGTTAAACCACTGTTTTATAGAGAACAGAAATAGGAGAAAGACTCCCCTTAGGGATGGGCCTTTGTATTGCCATCACGTCATCACAAGTTATTCTTTAAAATATAAATTATAAATAAAACACAAAGGATTGATTCTGTCCTCCTCTGTGCATCAGTTTTTGCTGTAAGTGAGATCGAAATCTGGCCTTCAATGTTGGGGCTGGAGCCACTTGGATCCATTATATATTAGATTATAATAAATGTTATAGTAGAGCAGTAGTGGAGATCAACTATTTAACAGGATCATTTTAAAAGACTTAATCATGGTCAGCCCATTACCTTTATGTAGCAATTTCTCTGTAGCCATTACCTGTGTGTGTAGCACTAAATCTCTCATTACAGTAAATGTCCTCAACCTTACTTAGATACTTCAGGTTTTATTTCAGAATTTTAAAATTGAAAGCATTAACAATTACACTGAAGTTCTGATAGAGAAGGTATAAAAAGATTTGTTGCAAAATAAAATCTGTATTTTGCTGTATTCAGGGGGGATTTTTGCCATGGATTTCTGTGTAGCTGGGATTAAACCTAAAGATTTGGTTTAGATTTGAGATTTCATAGTGTTTTGTACTCTGACATTCCAAAAATATACAGAAGATTCTTAAACACAGGTTGTTAGATATTTATTGGAGAAATAATAAAATGATGGAAGCTCACAGAAAAATACTTATCTATGTTGGTGTTGTTCCTATTGTCCCCTGTGCCACTCATAGACAGCCACACAAAACAGGAGAACAGTTAATTGTGAGTTATTTCAAGTTTAGGTCAGTGGAGGGAGAGATTGTGGGCCTGATGCTGAAGTGACCTACTGAAAACCAAGGGTGGCTCGCGTGACTTTGGTGGGAATACTCCAAGTTCCTGCTGTCCTCAGTGCAGGGAAAGCTGGGGCTGCTCCAGGGTGAAGAAGCTCTCGATAGAATATTAAAACCAGCGCAGGGAGCCGCTCCCAAATGGGCTCTGGTCCAGTCAACATGTGGTTGGATGCTGCTGGAAACAGTTTCTGGCAACTGTTGCCGTATTTATAGTACAGTGAAAAAAGGGTTCAAGAAAGTATCTATAAAAGGTGTAGTTGGCTGGGAAGTCAAATTTCCAGGAGCCAAGAGCAACGGGGCTTTCATGTTCTCAAATTTTGGAGTGAGGAGCTGAAAAAGTCTCTTGGCAGGGTCCAGAGCAAGAAGACAAACTAGCAATAAGGTTCTCATCACTTGTCCATAACTTGCTGGATGGGCAGATCTACTTGTTAAAAGGAGTAAAAAGCAGTAAGTGATGGTGGAATGATTAAAAAAAAAAAAAAAAGCGTGGTATGTTTCTGTGACATTGACTGGGCTGGGAGATCTCACCAGCTTCACCCTCAAGCTGTAGGTGACAGGATGTGTCAGAAGGGATTATTTGACAATGTGATTAATAGCATTGGTCAGAAAAGCCTCAGTATGTGCAATTGCTATGGAAAGATTTAGGAGCTCTTGGTCATGACAAACCCACTCAAAGCAGAAGGAAAATCAGGAAATGAGGTGGAAATCTAGCTGCCACTCCTTTGTTCGCAGAAAAAACGTAAGTCAGAAGTACAGGAAACCGTTAAATTAGAAAATGTCTTTATGAGATAACTGGTGGTGCAAGAATAGCCCTCTTTGCAAAGGCAGAGCCTACTGAAATGGTGGGACATGGTGCAAATTGCCCTTGTTATCTGCATCAAAATTCTTCTGCAAAGTACTAACAGATGAGGTGGCCTTGTTATTGGCCATGTGCACATTGCAGCAGCTGAACATGCCCTGAGTGTGCTGCTCCTTCTCCAGCCAAAATACAGGAAATACTGCAAGGACAAAGAATTTGGTAAGGAGGGAATTACTGCATCCTGTTCAGTAATGGAGCAACTACTGCTAGCTGTGAGCTAAGGAATAGCTCTGACAGCTTTGCCAGGGAGAAGCAGCTGTCTTTTGGAGTCTGGGACACAGAATTAAAAAATAAAGGAGAAAATCCAAATGATGACCAAAAGGAAAAGAAGGAGGAAAAGAGATACTCACATAGAGGAATTAAATCATTGAATCTGGATGAGTCCTTAACTTCAAGTCTTGGTGGGAATGAAAGAGGTGTTGCAGGGCTCACTCCTTGATGCCAGGGCTTGCACATGAAACAGATTTTGCATCCTGACAGATGGAAGCACTGATGACAGAGCATTCATTGAGAAGAATCTGTGAGAAGGGCTGGGGAGAGTATTTGCATGTTATAGAAGCATGTATCTGTTTAGTCCTGATGATCTGCTATCCTGGTTTGAGCAGAAGCCAACGTTCAGTTTTATTTTAAAAGGCACCCCTTCAAAGCTTCCCCATAAGCTCTTCCTCACTATTGAATAGTTCAGAAAAGCCAGAGATTTCTCCAGCCACACAGGCCACGCTTTTGTGCCTTTAGGAAAGACAAAATACATGAAGTTATTTATGCACAGATTGCAAGGGATCTGTTGCTTGGAGACGTGAGCAAATATATTTTCAACCAGGTTTCTAAAGTAGCCAGACTTTCCTTCTGCCAGGGAAGAGAAGGAAGGGGTAAGCAAAGAAATGACATTTAGGGGTAGTAGCACAAGTGGAACTGTTGGATGATGATCATGCTGCTCAAGCACCAGCTCCTTCTTCCAGTACACTGGCAGAAATGGCTCACAACTTCTCCCTGACTTGGGCAAACCAGGTGGCTGCTGCCCAAAGGAAGAGGGAGAATGACCCCATCTCTCTTTCTGTGTAGGAGGGAAAGAGGGAATACACTCATCTGGAACAGAAACCCCAAGAGGAAAACCTCTGTAGAACAGGGCTTGTTTTTCTTGCTGCTGTCACATAATGGGAATGGGAGAGCACAGAGCCAGGAGCAGCAGCACTCAGTCCAGCTCTCCAGGATTTGACATTACAATCAGTGCTGTCCCAAAGGCACATTGTCCAAAGCAGCCATCTGCTCCTCAATGCCTACTGACCCTCTGGAGATGATTAATGTTAGAAAATGAAAATCAAACTTCACTTGAAAGCAACAAAGTGCTTAAGACGTGAAATGCAACAGGCCCAGTAGCAACCTAACCTAATTGCTGGGTATTTTTTCTTTTAAAACAGGGTGTCCAAAAGGTACTTATGGTTCAAACTGCCAAAATCCCTGTAAATGCATGAACGGAGGCCACTGTGACCCTGCGTCAGGAACGTGTGATTGCGCTCCCGGTTTCATCGGAGCCAACTGCAGCAAAAGTAAGCCAACATTCATGTTCTGCTTCTGTCAAAACACAGCAAAGAGAATCATTTGCATAAGAGCTTGTCAGAAGAAAAACAGACAGATTCCAGCTACCTCTTCCTTGAATTGTAAATCAGGATTCCAGCTTTGTAAAAAATCTCTTGCAAAATATTTTCCCTTGCTCCTGCATGCATAGAAGCAAGGACACTTACCCCAGGATTACAACCTGCTTGCCCAAATTTATTTCTAGAGCCAGCTCAGCATGAATTGCTCAAGTTCCTTCTTCCTGTCCAAAATTTCAAGGTTGAGAAATTATCTCAATATTTTGCTTCACACTGTGGTGCCATTAGTTTCAATAAATGGGAAAAAGATCAAGTTTTGTCATGGCAAAACTGGTAAAGACTCCATGGCAACCCTACTACTACTTCTCTGTTTCAGAGCTAAATGGTGTGGCTGAATTTCTGTGCTGCTTCCAAAGCTCTGCTCTCTGTTATGTTCTCTTCACCTTATTCACAGAAAGGCAATGTTTGAATGTTTGGTTTCCCATACCTTTGCTCTTCCATGTTGGGCAGCATCAATATTAAGGAAGGAAAGATGTTTTAAACTGGGAGGATGAGCAGCTGATATTTCAGTTGTACATTCACTCTTCTGATGGGAAAGACAGTAAATATTCCATGTGAAATCATGGATTATATTTATAATCACAGGTAGTCTCAGAAGGTAAAGCAGTTGTGTCTTTGGGTGGGTTTTGGCTTCATAGTTGATGCTTTGAAGTGCATTAGGTGGAATAAAAACAAAGCCAGCTCTTCCCCTAAGGTGATGGCTGTGTTAAAAATGAAAACTGCCAATGGATCCTCTGGGTGTTTAACAAATGCTGTGTTCCTCCAGCTTGCCCTGAGAGCCGGTATGGGAAGGACTGTGCCCAGTTCTGTGCCTGTGGCAGAGGTCAGTGTGACCCACGGACTGGCGAGTGCACCTGTGCCCCCGGCCACACGGGACCTGCCTGCCAGCAAGGTAACAAAGCAGGACCCAGGTCACCTCACCAGCAGGTGACACGTTTAAAATACCCAGCAAATAAACTCAGTGCCAAACATTGTTCACAGCCAGTTCCCTTTGCTGATAACGCTGCAGTTTGCAGTGCTCAGCCTCCATCCCTCCTCGCTCTATCACCCAGCCTAATCCTGCCCACACCTCCCTGCCACCCTCGGTGCCAGGGCACCTCCAGGAAGCTGAGAGGATATGTCAAGCTCAGAGTGTTTGGGTGAAATTGATAATAATCATGGAGCAGTGTCCCACCACAGGGAGACTCTAATGTCTTGGGATGCATTTGGGGAGCATGTGTCTGTATTTATTCCCTGTCACCTTCATCCTTTTCTTGGGGTGCTAATTTTTGGGTTTTTTCAAACTTTGTTAATTCTCTGTAGTGTGTCCCCAGGGACGATATGGCCCCAACTGCCACCTGACATGTACCTGTCAGAACGGTGGCATCTGTGACCACGTGGATGGCAACTGCACCTGTGGGCTTGGCTGGACAGGAAGATCCTGTGAGAAAGGTGATTTCCTGCTTCCCTGGCAGTGGATTTGTACATTCAAACTGGGACTTGCAGTGTCCCCAAACACCCACAGATAAGGACAGCTTCAGAACTGCCAACACCCACAGATAAGGACAGCTTCAGAACTGCCCCTAGTTAGAGCTTCAGGTCTTTTCTCAAAGAAGTTTCCTCCTGAGTCCTGCTCATTAATTCCCTTGCACATTCCTTATTTCTTCTTCACTCCATTATTTCTTCTCCTGCGCAACTTCTGTGTTCTTTGCAACTTCTGTGTTCTTTGTTCATAGGAATGTTGGGTTTTGTCTTGTTCCAGGTGATCCTCTGAGCAGCAGAAGCTATGTCTTCCTCCTCAGTGGTTATGTTCTCTTTCATTTGACTCTGGACTGGAGTCGAATTTCCCATGTATTCACTTCCCAGATGTTCTGATAATATCTATCCAAAGTAACTGAGATTATCCTGCTTTTTCACCCTCACTTCTCCATGACAGCTGTCTCTTGTGCAAGACAAAGCACTCTTAACAGAATAAGCTCATATCCTACTCCAGAATCTCTCCTGTCAGCCCAGACTTCCCACAACTGTCATGCCCTTCTCCCAAAAACAATTCTGCATTTCTGTGTTCCTGTTTTTCTCTGTAGGTAAGAGATATCTGTATAGTTATGGACTTAAATGTTCAGGAAAGCACAAGTTTACTGGTATGAAATGTAAGTAAATAGTTCTGAATACACATTCAAGAAAAATGCCATCATTAAATCATAACTGCCATGGCTCAAGCTCCCCAACACCCTAATAGGCTCTCATTTACAACATCTCTGTCCCTGACACCTGTAGAATATTCACCTCAAACTCCATCTGTATCTGTACCAAGAACTGGCTGTTAGAAGAGTGTCCCCCTATATAAAAGTCATATAGAAATGACACTTTTTAGCAGCATTCTGAGATGCAGTTGTTTCACTCTGCATCTGAGGAGACTCAGAGCTCCACTGGGCATCTGTGTGCAGAGGAGGAGCAGGGAGGAAAGGAAAGGTGCAGCTACTCACAGTGTGAATCCTGTGAGGATTCAGTGGGCAGTGAATGTTCTCTGTGGACAGGCTCTAAAATATTTGCACTTCATCAATATCTGGCTGACCTAGCAAAGGGCAACTGTGTCCATCTGCATTTGTCTGTTCCTGGAGATCTCTGTAGTCACCCATAGGCTGAGTTGGGGCTGCCAGACCTCAGCAGGGTGGTGCAAGTGTCCCCACGTGGAGTAGTGGATTGTGGGTGTGTCTCATAGATAAAGCATCTCTGGAGATGTGCACACATTGTGTAAGGGACTGTGTGTTTTATCACTAGAGAGAGCTTCACTATTTATCTTTCGACAGAGGGAGTGAAATTATTGGAAAATTGAGTCTTCATCTCCACAACAGTGTGGGATTGAGTGTGTTGTGACTGGAAATCAAAGACAGCTAATCAGGCATCCTTTTAATAGAGATGAGATGTGAAGTTCCTGGAAGATCCTGTCTGGCATTTGCAGAGTTCTCAGTCTGATTATTTGGACGGCCACGCTCGTTTAAGTTCGTCTGCCCAGATTCAAATTATCCCAGCAGTGGGAAGTTAACTTATTCAGAGATGATGCTGAGGTTAATTATATTGGCACAGTCCCTTCTGCATGACTTGGCTTTCGGTAATTTGAGACGTGTTTGCTTCTGTAAAAGCAGATAGCTCATTATACATGGACAGACTGTTGCTATGTGTGAAAAGGATCCTCCTGGTTTTATTAGGAATTCGAATAGTGTGAACTCCAATGATAACACAGAGGAGGAGAAGCTTCATGTTTTCCTTCACACTTTTTAAGTGCCTAAAAGAAAATATTACTGTGGATAAAGAAAGAGAAAAGAAAATCTAATTTATGCCATTCACTACAAGGCTTTACAACACATGGTGCGGGTTCAGCATCGAGTCTGTGAAGAGAGAAATCGAAAAAGGCAGGCTGTTAAAAGGATCAGGAAATTGCTGTTCAAACATCTATATAACATAAAAGATTTCTCACCAAAGTATGTAAATGCATTGTACAGAAATCCTGTGTCTTCATAACAAATATTCTTTGGTCTGCAAATTATTCTCTGGGTATCATCTCTTGACAATGCTATCTAGCACATATGAGCTTTTCTGGGTGAGGGCAGTGATTGTTTGTCTGTTTTTCTGTCCATGTCCTGCCAGCAGAGTGTCTCCCCGGGAAGTATGGGGCTGGCTGCTCCTTGGACTGCCCGTGCCAGCACAATGGCACCTGTGACAGGTTCACAGGGTGCTGTAGGTGCCCCGAGGGTTTCTACGGCCACTCCTGTGAGCACAGTAAGTGGAGGCACTCGGGGTAATTGTCACAGGTCTGGGGCTTCAGGGTAGTCAAAAAAAACCTCACTGGTTCAGTTAAAATTTTGGGGATGTCCCAGATCATCCAGCTCCTTCCAGATCTTACATGTCTCCGATGCTGGGTGGTACAAGTTTAAAAGCCCATGGCATTATTAGAGTTAAGTATCTTTTTTATTGGTTGCCAGGGAATGTCACAGAGAATACAGAGGATTTGAATGGTGTGTATGATTTTCTCCATGAACCTTCTTCATTTTAATTTTTCAGGATGCCCCCTTGGATTTTATGGGCTGGGCTGTCTTCAGGCCTGTGCCTGTAAAAATGGAGCAAGCTGTGACGCAGTGACAGGACAGTGCCTTTGTCCTTTGGGTTATCATGGTGTCCACTGTGAAAAAGGTACTGCTACACCTCTGATAGGAAAGAAAAAAGAAAAGGGGAAAAAATAACAAAAGCAGAACTCAAATAACCTCTTATAGTTACTGAAATATTTGTTGGGAGACACTTCTTCCATAGTTTGAGCTTTGTGAATATCCTGAAACACTGAATTTGGGACAGATTTCCTGTTAGAGAGCTGGGTGTTCCCATTCCCTTATAAATTAACTAATCTGGTTCCAATTAATACAGTGAAAGTCCTGGTCTCCATGATGTCTTACAGCAATGAGTTCCACATGCCATTTATTAAAAATAAGTCCCTTTTACTGATTCTAAATTTGCTTCTAAAACTCCAAATAAGATTATTAAATAGGTGCATGTCAAACCTATTGAGTGTTATGGAGAGGTTTTCTAGAGAGCTCTAATTAAAAATAGAAGTGCCAGCTACATTTCTGGGACAGATTTACAGATAGCTTTGAGAAGTTAGATTAGGCAACCCCAACGGAAGGAGAGCTCATATAAATATTGTGCCCATTGCACTATGTTTTATTCTTCATTAAGCTTGGCATTTACACTGATTAATTTATGAGCTTTCCTCTGAGTTCTCCTGGGAAAACTCTGGGTTTAATGTACATCTTGCCACTCAAACTGCATCTGAAAGGTTCTCTTGCTGTCAGGCTGTGACAGGGGCTGGTTTGGTGAGAGGTGCCAGCATCAGTGTGACTGTGGAGATGCTCCTTGTGATCCAGAGACTGGGAAGTGCCTTTGCCCACCTGGGAAGACTGGAGACAAATGTGACATTGGTAAGGGCATTTTTTTTTAAGGGCTGGACTGTGTATAGTTAAACCACTCTGACCTGTTTGTTTTCAGAATAACTGTAAAAGGACATTTGTTCAAGAAATTGTTCATTGTAGAAAATTGCTCTTTAGGGTTATCAACACCTTTATCAGCAGGCTTGTACCTCTTGATTTAATCAATATTTAAATTGATATACTGATAGGAAAACTGTTCATGGGTCAGCTGTAAAATGTCATTTACCCTGAGGTTTGGAGAACACAGGCTGGAGAAGAATAGACCAAGAAGTTTTGCAAATGTAGTGGGGAGGACTCCAGAGGGTGCAAGGGCTCTAATTTCCACACTGACCCTTTTCAGACCAGTGCAAAAGTATGTCCAGCTCTGGATTTGCTTCCCCTGGAGGCAGGATGGAATCCCCACAGATGAGGGTAGTTGGGCTGCAGCAGCTGTGCTTGCCCCTGGCCTTCAGAGGCAGCCCAGGAACTTTTAACCCAAATGCTTGGGCTGTGTGTTGTCCCACAGGAGCAGGATTCTTCTGTAACAAGGATATAAAAATAGGTGAGAAATTTTTCCTGTAGGGAAAACCATCCCCACTGCTGTACCCTGATGGGGTTGGGCACAGGGTTGAGAGGGAGATTCCTGAGCCAGGCTCTGGTCACAGCTGTGACTGATCATAATTCAGGGCCAGGCTGGGCAGAGCTCGGAGCAGCCTGGTCTGGTGAAAAGTGTTCCATGCCTGTGGCTGGAACCAGATGAGCTTAAAGGTCCCTTCTAACCCAGGCTATTCTAGGATTCTGTGGTTATGATGGAGCAGGTTTAGAGCAATCACTGAAATAAAAGGAATTGCAGTGGTTAAACTGAGTGTCAGAAAACATTTGTGATCCCAATGCTGTGACAAGATAAAAGGAGTGAACATCCATGTGCTACTGTGGAGCTTCACCAGGAGCCAAAATCCTCCTGAGCCCCTGGAATAGAGGGGAAATATTTTTTCTCCTTTTGTTCTAGGATGGGGCAGAAATTGATTGAAGCAGGCTGTTATTAATACAGATTGCTGTGAGCTTAAGCATTAGTGCAACTTGCAAAACTAAAATGGAAAAGCATTTGATTCCCTCTGTGCAGTGTCCTGTGGTCAGGAAATGAAGCTCACAGTCTTCAGCACTGCTCCAGTGGGAACAGGAGCCACCCTCACTGCCCACACAGCCCCAGGTGTCCACAGGCCTTTCCAGTAAAATTTTAGGCAGAAGTGGAACGCAAGGGGGAAGCTCAGCACCAGAAACGGGAATCGAGGTTTTCCTCCTTGCAAACTCTGCAAGTCTTTTTTATTTTTCTTAAATCAGTTAGGGTAGCCCCCATCCATGAAAAGCTGTTATGGGGTAGGTTTTATTTGCATTTTTATTTTCAATTAGGCTCAGTTCATCTGTGATATAACTGTGAGCAGCTGTGACTGTGCAGCAGCCATAAAGATAAAAGGCCTGATTTTAATTTGAACTCTGGTAAAGCACCCATTAAACAGGCAAAATGTTAATTAAAAAAAAAAAGGGGAGAGAGAGAGAGAATATAACAGATTTTTATGGGCGTTCTTTTTCTGTAGTAAATTAACATTGCAGACTTTCAAACAGATGTCTTAAATACACATTGTTATTAACATGAAAATGTGGTATTACATAAATTAAAATCAGGTCCAGAGGTGTTTGGGGAGACCTTTTCTCATAACATTTCCTAATTGAAAAGGCCAAGCTCAGAGCACACGGGGCGAGTTCTCCCACGTGCTGGGGCTGCAGCTGATGCAGGGCGTCAGGCTCAGCAGGACTTTATTTACCTGAGGGTGCTCATGAGAGAAGGCAAATTCCCTGCTTACAGGGTTTTTCAGCAAGGTGAGGACCTTTGTTTGCTGCGTGTTTCACACCCTGCTTTGTGACCCTGCTGCTCACTTTACTTTCCTGCCTGTCCTCTGATGCATAAAAAATTGCAGTGAGGACTTACCAGCCTAGCTATGAAATGTATTTGCATTTGGAGGTGAGGTTTTTTTGAGAGTTTAGTTTGCCAGGAGGCAGCAGAATTGTGCAATCAGAGCAAGACATGAGTATCTATAAAATGGATTAATTCTCAGTGTCACATTCTGTGAGAGAAGGCTCTTGGCCAGCACGCACTGATAGCCCAGCCATGCAGGAGAGACGGGGCAGGAGATAATATGGATCCAGGATGCTGACAGCAACTTTCCTGAGCAGATCCCAAGATGTTCTCCGTTGAGCTGTCAGCCCCTGTTTTTACACCAGTAATGATTTCCATTCTGGGAACCTCTTCAGGACAGCTGGGCTGCAGCTTGGGCAGAGCATGCGGCAGACGAAACTTGACGACTGCCGCGCTTTCCCAAATGTCATGTTTTACTGTGAGCAGATGTAGGTGTCTGAGCAGCTTCCTGATCCCACAGAAGGGGGAGACTCCCAGGAGTGTTCACCCTGTCCCAAACCCTCCTGTCCTTGCAGGGTGCAGGCCAGACCGGTACGGCCCCGGCTGCTCCCTGCGGTGCCAGTGTGCCGGCAGATCCCGCTGCAATCCCCACAACGGCAACTGCGCCTGCCCAAACTCCTGGATGGGGCCAACCTGCAGAGAAGGTAACCAGGCTGGGGGTGCAGCCTTTCCTGGTGGGATAAAACACGTGTGGCCCATGCTGGTGGTCCGTTTGGATGGGAGTGTCAACCCATTGGATTGTCCAGATAATTTCTCTTCTTAATGAAATAAGAGTACAGAGGGAAAGTTTCCTCTCGCTTGTAGTCTAATCACAATTCCTCCTTTAGTTCAGGAATAATTTTGGGAACCTTCTGATTTGGAGGTGTTTTACAGTTTTGCCTACACTCTGCCTCTGTAAGGAGGCTGCTGTAACTCCCTCCTCTACCTTCTTTTCAAGGCTACCATTTATTGAATTATTTAAGTGTAAATTGTATAATCTATATAATATTTCAGTATTAGGTTATATGGACCTGAAACCGTGTTTCTACTTAATTCTCTAGGTGGCCCTCCAAAGCTTCCTTTTTATGAAGAACAAGCTCAAGAAAGAGAGAGTATTTTTCCAAGAGCTCTACAACAGTAACATTTGGACTAATAAATGAACTGTTTTATATGCACAGACGGTATTTGAATTTGGATATGAAAACAGTTATTCAATTCAGCTTGAATTGTACTGAAGTATTCACACTTCTTATGGAAGACTACAGAGGCCATTTAGTAGCTGGATCCTTTTAAAAAGTTGAATCTGTTTCATGTGCTCATTCCTAGCCTCTTGCCCCTCCATTAATCTACTCTGGACATTCTTTCTGGTATTAATATAATTCATTGCTTGAAAGCCTGGACATGTTTTTAATCAGACCAGCTCCATAGAGTGCGGGGATAAGCGGCGTGTAACACCTCACCGTGGAATGAGCCAGACTCCATATCAGGGACTTTCTAAACCCACTTGACAGCCAGCACCAAGTTTGAAGAGTGTTCCACAGATTATTTCTCTACAGATTCACTGCAAAATCACATTGCACAGAAACTAGAGGGATTCATCAAGTTAATTCCTCTTTGAATAACACTGTGTGTTCTAGAAAAGTATGCAGTCTAATTTTGAACTTGCAGCTGAAGAATCCGCCACAATCCAACAAGAGTCCTCAATACATTGTTAATTTATTTAAGAGCATCTTCTGCATTTCTGGTGTGGTTTGACTGATTGGAAGATCTCTGTCTGAATCTGTTTTCCAAAGAGCGTGGTGTCATCTGCCAGACTCTCCTGGCATTGTGTCCTCACATCTTACCAGATTAATTTCTCAGTGGTTTGTCAAGCCAAGCTGTGCAGCACTTCTCATAAAACAGTATCTGCTGATGCAGAAAAGGTTTTATCTTAAATGGAGAAAGCAGATAGAAGAGGAGAGGTGCTTAAAGATAATATTTTTGGGTTTTGGGCTTTTACCGAGCCTTTTTATTGTTTTTTAATCATCTTACAGCAGTTCTGATGCCATTCAATAGCTGCTGGTGGCCACTTCATAGAACAGAGATGTTTTGGTGCTATTTTGTCTGTTCAGACAGGTTTTATTTTGATATTAAAAATATGTCATTATAAAGAAATGTATGTTCTGTATTTTAATATTCTGAGTTAACCAAGCTAAAAGATTTCAGTGTCTCTTTATACCTCTCTTTAGGTTAGGAGTTACAAAATCTGTGTAGTAAGCACTTGATTCTTACTGTATCAAAACTGCACTTAAGAAGGGGCTTCAGGGCCGTGGTAGGCACAGAGTATGGGCAGTTCCAGCTCTTGTGCTGACATTCCATTCACCACCAGAACAAACTGCAGCTCTGCAAGAGCAGGTTTTGGTTTTGCAAGAGACAAAATGACAATAATTGATGGTAACTTGGGATTTTTGAAGGAGTTTGTTGTTTTGGTTGTGTGAGTGATGAGTTGGTGAAGCAGGATCCAGGAGGTTGGATGGGAAGGTGAGCTAACAATTTTCACCATGGTTCACCCCAGGTCTTAAACACATCTGCAGTCAATGACTGTCCAGCCAAAGCACATGGCACTCACTCCTCTGGAAGTTTATTTCAAACTGTGATCTATGGGAGGCAAGACAGTTTTAGGAGGTGTTTTCCAAGCTTCATGGAAGTCTTATTGTTGTTATTCATCACTTTGTAGGTATTGAAAGTAAAGGTATTTGTGAATGTGTCAAAATTAATTAACTAACTGTGCTTTCAGCCAGAAAATCACTGGGGCTGATGTTGATCCCTTTTAATTTCTACTGTAGAGCTCAATGAATGTCACTGGAAAGTTCATTCAATGTAAATGTGGCAAAATTATAGTCCCAGAAGCGTGTGACTCTCAGCAAGGCAGTGACATTTTAAATGTTCTTTTGGAGGTTTGATGGCTGGGGTCTGATCCTACAATTATGTGAATTTGGGGCAATTTCACTGAACAGGAACAGATAAATCTCCTGTGAGACAATGAGATATAATCTTAGCAACTGCTGGAGAAGAACAATTCAAGTTGAGCAGTTGACATACTTTGATCTTAGCTCTATATTTACTGCAGAGCCAAACTACAGCAGTAGTGCAAGTGTCACACTGTACTCAAGATTTTTTTGTAGAATCATCGAGTGAGTAAAGCTGTAGGAAAACCTCTGAAGGTCTGAGCTTCCCTTTAAAGCCTGGTCTGCTTCAGAGTCAGATGGGTCAGAGATTAATCATTGAAATAAAATTTCAGAGATTCATCCCAGCTAGTTTTGAATATTTCCAAGGATGGAGATCCCACCACCTCTTTGAACCTCCTAGTGGAGGTTTCATTTTCTTCCTTTTTTTCCTGATTTCTAATCAGAATTTCTTAAGTTTCATCTTTGGTCCACTGCTTCTCATCCTTTCAGTGTGGATCTCTGAGGAGCCTTTGGCTTCCTCTCCCCTACATCCCCATGGGGTAGTTGGCTACAGCCTTGGTCTTCCCTTCTGAAGACTCCCCATTAGCTCAGTGACCCTCCCTGGCCACATTCCAGTACATCAGATGTTCCAGTTTGTTCCAGCTGCCCAGAGACTGGTGTGGTTACTCAGCAGCTCATGCATAAAACCCTTTACACTGCTGTCAGACAGCAGAATGGATCAAATGTACTGTTTTTCCCTTATTTTAGTAGACTGGCATGTGATTGGAGCAGCTAATCAAAGGGGAGACCTTTCTCAAGCCATATTATTTACACCTGTGTATACTTGTTTACATTTTTCACAGTACCTTGCTAATAGAATTGTAAATATGTAGTACAAGGAAATAAAACATTTTTGTATTAAGTGTTTTTAAAGGATGTCACAATTTTAGGTACATGATGAAACACATATTTTAAGTGACTGATACTGAGCCTGTGCCAATGAATTAAGAGGCCCAAGCAGATCTGCTTTGGGAAATATTTCAGCAAACATTTTTTTAAATCAAAAAATGCCAATTCATACAAACCACTCCATATGCAATAGACTTTTTTATTCAAAATGCTTCTTGGCTTCTTTATGTTATTACCTTGGGAAAATAAGTTCACTTCAGTGCCATCAAACAGACCATTCTGATTTATGGTTCTGCGTGACCTTTTGTTCCAAAACAAAGAACAGTCAGATACAGGTAAAAATCAGAATTAAAGATTACAAAAATATTAAAAGAGGAATTTTGATGGGAGTAGTTGGAATGTCTTATCTTGGTTCTTATTTTTTCATAAGGCAGAGAAAACTTTTATAGGATTTTGTTTTCTATAAGAGCCACACTTACACATTATTAACTACTAATTAAGGAATTTTATTTGCTTCTGATATTATTCTGATTCTGCTCCTTACTACAGTTTAACACATTAATGTAATTCTTTGCCTACAAAGCAGTCTTTGACAGGGTTTTTTAATGGAAAGCTGACTAAATCAGCTTTTCCAGAGATTAATTTTGTGGCAAGCGAGTGTAGTTGCTACTAAATTAATACAACATCGCTTATTTGCTTCATCAGATTCCAGTGAAAGAGTGTCAGGCTGACACAGTCCTGACCACAGCACTGGGGCTTGTTGAAAATGAGGGTGAAAAACTCAGTGAAAATGGGGTTTATAGTTAAATTGATGCCCTTCTTCCTCTTGGTGAAGGCTTTTGCTGGCTCCCCATTTCCCAGGAGGCTGAAGTGAATTACCCTTCCTTGGAGAGAGCGCTCTGTGTATTCCTCTGTAACACAACTGCACGTGCAGATAGCTCCTTTCAGAAAGACACTGGAATTATTTCAGCCATGCAGCTCCTGTGCCAGCTCCCCCTCTCTTACCTTGTGTGCTCCAGATAACTTCAGCTGGAGTGGGAAGGAGTTGAGTGCAACTCAGTGGGCCCAGCAGAACCTCGCTCGCTGAGAATTCATGAAACCAGAACAACGTGTTTTAAGTTAGACTTCACTAACACTATCCTCATAGGAAAACAATCAGAATTTTAAAAATTCCCCTCTTCCCCTGCCAAAAATTATTATTCTACTTTTATCCTTTTTATGTTGAAGAACCATAGCTATTAAAGTTTGCCCAGATTCCTTGCCAACCATATTATTTTGATTGGCTGCAGGTTTCTGTTTGTGTAAGTAATAACTAGCATAGTGTCAGGAGTTGCCAACGGGACAAACATGGAAATAATACCTTCATGTCCTTCCCAGAAGAGTCAAAGACACATTTGGGAGCCATCGTGGCTTCATTGTGCAGCTCAAACAGGGACTCTCAGAATTTAGCTTCTTATCAGAGCAAAATAAAGCTTAGGAACAATCTTTGAGAGTGCTGGTGGACCAAGAAACCTCCATCCTCCCATCCTTGTGTTAATATTCTTATATTTAGGTGAGAAACCTCCTCAGTCTCCAGCTTTTGAAGGATTTTTCCTTCAGATTGACCTGACTGAGCAACTCCGTGCACGGGCTGCAACTGTGCCCAGTAATTCTTTTGCGAGGTCACAGCTTTAAATTCTGTCACTGTGTAAAGCAATTTCCAGCAGTAAACACCAAATCTCAGCCTTGTAGAGCATAAATTGTTCACTCTGTTCTTTTCATTGCTTTTAATAAGCACTCACATAGCAATATTATGTCTCTGTGAATTTGTAATCCCTCTTCAAGGAATGTGTGGGATATATCTCAGATTTGTACTGTACTTTCTGTTGTAGGTGTGTTGTAGTGAAAGGATGCTGATTTTTTTTTTTTTTTAAATAAACATGTAATTAAAACTTGGTATTCTTTTTCCCTTATTGCTAGTCTTGAAGCAACAGTTTTCTGTTGTGGATGAGACTTTATTCTACTGAACTAATTCACATTCAGAGCAAACAGGTTGAACTCACACCTGCTTTTAATAGTTTATATAGAATAAATAATGGCCTGTGCCCAAATGGGTTTGTTTAGGATCCCTGACCAGGGCTGAGCCTGACAAATAGAGCTTTCTGGCACTCAGACTCCAGAGTATTAGGAATATTCAAAACACAGCATAAATCTTGCTGGAAGGGGATGGTTATGAAGTGTAACATTTTGGGAAGACCCGGGCACGGAGCATTTTGAAGGTATTTGAAACCACACACCTGCAGCCTCCCATCAGCCTGCTTGGGCACTTCCCAGAGCCCAGCTCTGCCAACAAATTGCCTGCTTCACCTTCAGGGTATTGTCTTCTCACATTGGCAGGAGCTGAAGGAACATGTGTGCCTGCTTAATGCCAAATAATGCAGTGAGAGTGTGCTGGTTAATTGAAAGTAGCAGGCTAAATTGAATTCAAAATGTGTAACAAAGGGGGAACGGTAGATCAAGCTGTCAGGGAAAAAGTGGACAGCTCTGGGTTGCTGCTTTCTGGGAGAGCAGGCTTGGATTCCCTTTGAAATTTCAGGGTAAACGTTTTGAATCGAGCTGTGTAATACTGCAGGGTTCTGTCTTGCATGATTTACTTCACTCTTCCTGCAGATTTCAACAAGGAGCAGAATAATTAAGTTCATTTGGTTTGTCATCTTTTTGACATATGTTCTAAAAATAATTCTATAATCCTCGCAATTTATCCTGTAATTTCTTTATTAGAAGCCGTATTTATACTATTCAAAGAAGCTGTTGATGTTATTGCTGTTAACCTCTCAGATTGCTGTTAAAAGCTGATCAAAATCTAGATACAGAATATTAAACCAGAATATTCTCAATCTCTGCTGAGTTAGCATTGATCTGTGTTTTAATCCTTTAAAAAGCCATGCCTCTGCAGCCCTTGAAATGTTCATAAATCATGGAATGGTTTGTGTTGGCAGGGACCTTAAAGACCATCTATTTCCAACTAGAAGTGGGGCAGCCACAACTTCTCTGGGCACCCTTTGCCAGTGGGGTGGTGATGGTGAGTGCCTCACCGTCCCCACAGTAAAGATTTTTTTCCTGATATCTGAGATCTGTGGGACCAGGGTGACCTTGTGACTGTATCCAGGGAGCACTGTTCCATGGGATGGTCCCTCAGCATCTTCAGAAATCATTATCCCAATCTGCAGCCAGCACTGCTTATCTCTTCTTTTAGTCAGCACTACAAGTTCACAGGGTGCTCACAGAATATGCTGTATGCACACAATAAAAACAACCATCCAAACCCCATGAACAGTTTAAAAATGACTTAAAAGTGCTGCATGATAAGGCACTGTTTTGTTGATTCCTTCAAGCATGTTTAAAAAAAAAACCAACTCAGTTGTGTTGTTTTATATATGAATAAAGATGTCAGCAAGTAGTCATCTAACTGTCCGTGCCATTTGGCAGTATCTAGCTTCCTTTTCAGTAATAGCCCAATAAATCTTTATCTTTCACTAAGCTGATGACAGCAAAACATCTTGAGAAGCTGCATGTGGTGTAGATATTATAGTTAATGCTTAAATGCTTCATGCCATCGTCTACTGGGTGTTTTTTCCCGTCCAGATGTAACATCCTGGTTTAAGGCACGTGCTCGCTTCTCCCTCTAGTGATCCCAAGAGCCCAATGATAATTAAGTAATTAATTAATTAAGGTCTGTTACCATCTTGATCCACAGTTACCAAGATCCACCTGCTCAGGTGGCCTCACTGACCTCTTCCCAAGAGCAGTACAAGCAGTACTTAGCAGCTGTTGCTGTTTGGGGTGGGTTTTGCACTTTGTGTTTTCTTTCTGCCTGTAAGTCCTTGGTTCATCCAGAAATCCAGGGTTTGTCTCAGCTCTTTGGAGGAGGCCATGGAGGGACTCCATGGCCTCCTTCCCAGCAGGAGCAGCACTGTGAGCTGGGCTCATGTTGGCTGGGTAAGTGGAGCCACGTTTGGGGTGGAAATGCTCCATGTCCCACTGATTCTGCCCTGTTCCCATTAACACCAGCCTGTCATTTCTTTGTTATTTGTAAGTCTTAAAGCGCCATGAATTACTTAAAAAATTACTTAATGAAAATGCTCTAATTTTTGCAGCTGGAGGAGGCTTTATTCAACCAGAAATCCAGTTTTTTAATGATTTATTTGTCCCCTAAGGACCACATTAAGATTTCTTGCTGTACATCATCATCAAAGAGCAAGATCAGTGCAAGCAGAGACTGTGGGGTAATTCCTGTCTGTCCATTTGCTTTTTTTTCCCCTTTTCCCTGACATTTCAGCTGTGGTAGCTGTTGTGGATCTTGGCCTTGCACTACCAGGCACAGGGGAAGGCTGCTCTTAATTATTATTTTATGCTAAAGGTATATATGAAATACAGAGCAGCAAATAGCATCACATTAAATATGGGCTGTATCCCTGGGTAATGAGGGCTGGGAATGCTGCAGGAACAGCAGCCACGGATGGCATCACTCTGCTCAAGCCTCTTGTGGAGCCCTTCACCCTCTCCAAAATAAGAGGTTTGAACAGGCAGCTTGAAGGACTATTAGGACTGCTCACAGTCATAGTTAGCGTGTTAAAATATTTTACAAGAACCAGTGAATTTGATCAGAAAATAGTTATTTTTGGCTGCCAATGTGGCAAAACCACTTAAAATACAAACTCAAGAATGTGTTGAAAGGAGTCAGTTTGCCAGCACAGCTATTGTTGTAGCAAAGTCTCTGCTCTGATCCAACAGGAATCCTCTCCTTGAGTTTTTTAACTTAAAAAGTTAACGTGGATGTCAAGCACCTGGAAATCTTTATGTCTTTGAAAAGAGCATTGGTAGGGGCTGGGTGGGTGTGGTTTCTGGTTGCAAACTCTTGCTCTGGGGATTTCCTTCCCTGGGGAAGATTTGAGGATCGATTTGGTAGTTCGGTGTCACTGCTTTGATAATGTGCTCTCTACAAGATGTGTGGTTTGGTGCATAAGTATTTGAATTTGCAGTGGATTTTATTTTTTATTTCGAATTTAGAAAAAAAATAATAAAAAAACTCTTGGCTTTTTTGGCCTTTTTTTAAAAAAATATGTAAAGAACCCCAACCACCACACAAAGGTCCTCTAGAGAGACAGGGCTGCCTCCTTTGAGAAAAATCAAAAAATGCCTGTAAGCAGTCAGGACATAATGATTTCAGCAGTAGAAATACATTTTAATGCATATCTCAGTGAGGGCTTGTGCAAGCAGAAAGCCCCTGCACCCTTCAGGAGCTGGAGAAGGGATGGATCTGCAGCCCTTGTTACCTTGAGTACATAAATGGTGCTTCAGCCCCTGTGCTGCAGCATCACGTGCCAAGGCAGGGGAGGCGTGAAAAGCATCGTGACCAATAAATTAATCTTTTACTTTGAGTGGGCATGAGGGATGTTGAAAACTGGGTTTCTTCCTGCCTCTGCTGCCAGCAAAACAAAGCTCCACACAAGAGGGTTTGAAAGTCCCTCTGGGGAAAAATGCCATTGCCAATTCCACCAGAGTGCCTTGTCCAAGTTGCCCTGAAGGAATCTCTGCCAGAAATACTTGTTAACAATAAGGAGCTGTTACTGTTTCACAATTATTTCTCCAAAAATTTAATTGCTCCAGCAGTCCCCAACACAAGAAACTGGCAGATATTAAAGCACGATAACTGTGGAAACCTCAGGTCTGTCTGCAAGTGCCAAGACCAAGGTAGTGCTGCACATCTGCAGGTCTGGTGAGGACTCTGTGTGCAACCAAGAAGAATAAAAAGCTGGGGCTCTGTCAGTCATAACTACAACTTTTCCAAAGAAAATCAACATGATTCTCATCTTTTGTGGAAGGAAGCTAAGCCAGAAATTACTCATGGCAGGCACATCCCAACTTTTCTGCATGGAGGCTGCTCTGGGGAATGAAGGAGAGCAGTGTTGGTGGCCAGTCAGGAGGGATTATTTGTAATTCCCCATCCCCAAGAAGGTGCTGCTTTTTCACTGGCTTCAGACCAGATCCAAACTCATAATTTACCACAGGTGTGATCTTCCTGCCTCAAGCTGTATTTGCAGCTCTTGCTTGGCTTCCCCTTGTGGATGTCAAAGCTGACCATTACAACTGACAGAAACCCACAAATTGTAGCTTCTCTGCCTGATATCAAGGCAACACTGAAGCTTATTTTGATATTTTATCTTCCCCAAGTGAGGAAACTGCAGCACTGGCACAGCACCTTCGATATCTCTGCCTCACTCTGCAGGATCTTAAAGACAAGGCTGTGCCTTGATGGATGTCAGAAAGGGACTCTAGCTTTTGAAGTGGTACTGAGAGCC